TTATTTTACACTTTAATCACAGTTTCATTTTTATTTATCATAATAACCTTTTTCGTTTCACCTCAGAAAGAATAATTATTTGCAATGACATCATAGTACACATTCATGATTCTTATATAATATCAATGGCATAGAAATCGATGCATGAACAGAAGACTTGAATAGTCTAATTTTGACCTTCATCAATAGACGTTCTTGCAGGAGGTGTGATAGTTTTTTTTTTGTGTAGCCACGTGTATACTCTTTCTTGGAGAACATAGCTTATGTTTAGAGGATCAATATCTTTTTGAGCTGTGTTGGGAGGATTGCAAATGGGAAAGGGGAAGGTGGAGAGGAAAAGAGCCTAGTGAACAACTTTAATCCATATTTGCTCTACCTTTCTATGCTTAAAGGGCCACTAAAGTCACCAAATCAAATTTAGCTTAATAAAGCAATTTTGGTCTATAGATCATGCCTCTGAAGTCTGGCGCAAAATGTGTCTGAAGACCGAAGCTTGACTACTCTCAATCTGACCATCAATAGAAGTTCTAGCAAGAGGTGTGAGGGTTTTTTTTTGTGTGTGTAGCCACTTGTATACTCTTTATTGGAGTACAGAGCTTATTTTTGGGGGGTGAATATATTTTTGAGCTGTGATAGAAGGATGTTAAATAATAAGGAGGTGGAGAGGCAAAGAGCTTAGTGAACAACAATAATCCAGGTTTGCTCTGCCTTTCTATGCGTAATAGGACACTATAGTCACCAAAACAACTTTATCTTTATAAAGCAGTTTTGCTGTGTAGACCATGAAGCATCACTGCTCAATTTTCTGCCATTTAGGAATTAAATCACCTTTTGTTTCTGTCCATGGAGCCTTAGCCACACACCCCTGGTTGTAAATCACACAAATTGCATTTCATTTTCAACCAGATGTTAACTTGGTTTAGACGTTTTTATACCCTACTCTGTAAATTGAACTTTAATCACATACATGAGATTCTTGCAAGGTCTACCAAGCAATTAACAATGAAGGAGATTAGAAATTCTAAATTAAAAAGACTGCGCAATAAAGGAAGTATAACCAGAGCCGATCCTGGTTGGGTGCGCAGTGTCCAGGCGCTCTGTAGATATATGCGCAACCAGATTCTGCCTTAACCCCCCTCCTACTTCCCTTAACCCCCAAATTGCAGGCCCTACACCCTACAAGAGCCCCTAACATCCCAATTGTAGTCCTTATGCCCTACTACAGCCCCTACCCCCCTAATATAGCCCCTAACACCACAATTGCAGCAATTATGTCCTACTATAGCCCCTAATTCACTGTTACAGACTCCAATTTCAGCTACTATGCCCTACTACTACAGCCCCTATCTCCCTACTACAGCCCATAACCCCCAATTGCCACACCTATGCCCACTACATCCCCTAACCACCCTACTGCAGCCACTAACCCAACTGCTTGCACCTCCTATACTACAGCTCATAACTTCCTACTACAGCCCACACTTCCCCAATACAGACCCTAACCACCCTTACTACAGCCCTTAAAATCAAACAGCAGCCATGCCCCCTAATACAGTCCCTTTCCCCCACTGCAGACACTATCCCACACTACAGTCCGTACCACCAAATGTAGCCCCTATCCCAGACAGAGACAATTTCAGTCCATATCCTTCCATTACAGCCCTATTACCCCAACTACAGCCCCATCCCCCCACTACAGTCTTAGCCACCCACTAACACCTTATATCCAGCACTTGCAGCCCTTATCCCTAACATGGGGAATGTTCAGTGCCTCCTTAGAGAGCTTGGAGACGCTGAATTCCAGTGTTGCACACTGTGCAGCACTGGACTAGGAAGAACCTCTAGTGGCCGTCCCTCGAGTGACTGCCACCACAGGTGTTCATATGCAGCAGTGTAAACACTGCCTTTTTCTTAAAAAGCAGTGTTTACAGTGCTAAGACTGCATGGACCAACTATAGACACCATACAGAAGCAGTAGTAAATCTGGTGACTATAGTGTCCCTTTAATATAAAAACAAAGCAAATAGATTAATGGAAAACTCTTCAGGTGCTCTCTAGAACGAGGCTTCCAAACCTCCAAACATAATTGGGGAAAAAAAAGAAAATCATGGCACTCTTGACGAAAGGAAGTGTAGAAGCTATGCAAGCTCAGCTTTTTTGAAAAACAGATAATAAAACAGGCTCAGCATCTATGCATCAAAACTACTTAATTAAATGGACACTATAGGCACCCAGACCACCTCAGCTTATTGAAGTGGTCTGGTGCAATATCCCTTTCCTTCTTAGTCCTGCAATGGAAATTATTGCAGTTTTAGAGAAACTGCAATAATTACATTGCAGGACTAAGACTGCCTCTAGTGGCTGTCACTCAGACAGTCACTAAAGGCACTTCCTGCTTGTTAGGTGACTTCTGGTCACCTAACTGGCGCTGGATGATCTTACACTCTGTATGAGGGCATCCAGCATCAGTTAAATCCCAAAAGGGAAGCACTGCAGCAATGCTTTTAGGGGGATTTCCTAATGTGCTTGTAGGGTGTGCATTAGCCCCTCCTCTGTCTGGTGACATCAGAGGAAGTGGAGGGAGATTGGTGCTAGAATTGGGTGAAAACAGAAAGGTTTTTTTTTTTTTACCCATTCACTGCCGGGTGGGGGGAGAAAGAGGGAGTATATTTGTTTTGTTCATTGATCCAAATACATATCACCATTATTTGCACCACACTATGAAGACTATGAATGAATTTGACATAACTAAAGTTACCTTCTATCATCTGACAGAGACCAGATACAGGTAGAGGAATCAATGCCACGTATTGTTTCACTCTTCACGAGGCATGCTGTAAGCCACAAGTACCAACAATTCAATACCATATATTTAATTCTCAGATGGAAAGCCTGTTTATATTATTATTATTATGTTATTATTTATATAGCGCCAACAAATTCCGCAAAGCTTTACAGTGGATGGACGAACAAACATGTAGTTGTAACCAGACAAGTTGGACACACAGGAACAGAGGGGTTGAAGGCCCTGCTCAATGAGCTTACATTCTAGAAGGAGTGTGATAAAGTGACACAATAGGTAAGGATAGTATTAGACTAATGACAGTTGCAAGAGAGGAATATATGCTGAATGATAAAGGTGTCATACATTATCTTCACCACTATGATTAAGTAGAGGTTTTTGTTTGTTTTGATTTTTAACAACTTACCAGCAGGCTTCTTAAAGGACCACTATAGTGCCAGGAAAACATACTAGTTTTCCTGGCACTATAGTGCCCTGAGGGTGCCCCCACCCTCAGGGTCTTCTTCCCGCCGGGCTCTGGGGAGAGGAAGGGGTCAAAATCTTACCTTTCTCCAGCGCCGGACGGGGAGCTCTCCTCCTCCTCTCCTCCTTCATAGCGACGGCATCGGCTGAATGCGCATGCGCAGCAGGAGCTGCGCGCGCATTCAGCCAGTTCATAGGAAAGCATTTACAATGCTTTCCTATGGACACTGGCGACTTCTCACTGTGATTTTGACAGTGAGAAGCATGCAAGCGCCTCTAGCGGCTGTCAATGAGACAGCCACTAGAGGCTCTAGAGGCTGGATTAACCCTATTATAAACATAGCAGTTTCTCTGAAACTGCTATGTTTATAAAAAAAAAGGGTTAACCCTAGCTGGACCAGGCACCCAGACCACTTCATTAAGCTGAAGTGGTCTGGGTGCCTATAGTGGTCCTTTAAGCTTATATTGGGCACATGTGATGATATAGACAAGTAGAGGAGTGTCCCAAACAAAGGTTTTCTTCAACTATGTGAAGGAAGGCCTGTATGTGTGTTCAAAAATGCAGGTGATGATATAAAAGGCCACATCTTGTTATGTTCAAGGAACAAAGTGAACTAAGAATCAGGCTTCTGGACATGTGGCTAACAGGCAAACTTCATATAGTCAGTATATCCACTGATAGCACTCTTTTCTAGAATGCCAACACAAGACATATATAACATACCTGGATGCTCACCAATAAACTTGCAAATGTGACCGTTTTCTTATAAGGAAACATTATACTAAATAACATTAGTAACTGAAATAACTTTAGACTTCAAAAAAAGGCAGTAATCTATTTTACTGGTACACGTACTGACACAGGAAAACAAAACTAATTTGATGGAATGGAAGCAGATAGATACACTGGTGTCGGTTTGTGTTCCACTGGGATATGGGGTTTTTGAAAAAACTGATGACTCAATTTATTTAAAAGAACACTCCAATGGAATTAAAAATGAAAACAAGTAAGTAGATATACCACCAAAAATATATGCATGCATTTATTGATACATTTTTTTCAATGAGGGTAATCTAGAAACCACTTGAAAAAAGCTGCAGATCTTCTGTCTGCCGACTTTGCAAGCCCTCCCCTTTTCCCCACAGCATTGTCCAATCACAAACTTCTCAATGCAGCTTAATGAGAAGTCTGTGCTAGGAAGGGCTTCTGACCTAAACTACCAGGAAATAGAAGGAGTGGTTGTCTGATTGACAGCCACAGGGGTGTAGCAAGTTTAATTTATAAAAAAAATTCTATTGAAATCTGCATTTTTTGTAAACTGAAAAAAGAGAGCACACACTCTTCACACATAAAGCACTGTGTTTAAAGTGTTCCATTAACCTAAAGGCTTTGTGATGCACCCTGTAAACCATGTTCATCTCCCTCAGGAGAGAGTTTAGGTCACACGCTCAGTCACTTAATGGGGTACACTGAGGGCCTCAGCTCTAAGAGGGGCTACATGTATTGATGAGAGAGTGGGACCTTTCCAAATAGTGGCCTTCTAATGCAGAACACATCCTTCTGCTGTGCAGGACAGGACAAATACTGTATTTTAGAGAAGGCGTAATTCTATTTATTCAGTGATCTGAGTTTTTTCCCAGTTCTTTCTGTTGTGAGTAAGAAATAGTTATTGGATCAGGAAAACTGTTTTTTTTTTTTATTTACCGGGTTCATTGAATTTTAATTAAGCAAGAACATAAGAAAAAGCAGTGAGATAACATTCTGGTTATTTATTTTTGCTTCTGAAAGAGATGAAATGACACGAAGTATAAACATAAAAAAAACAATGTGCACAAGTTGTTTAGATGTTTTCTTGTGTAGCAGTAGGTGACCTGTCCTTTTGGGGTGGTGACATCAGTAAACAGAAAAAAAGTTCTTCATCCTTGTTTGCAGATGGTTCCTCTGATTTCCTTATTGAGACTCAGATGTTGCAGATAAATAGGTGCCACAATAGCTTACTTGTTTGTGTTCTTTCATCAATATATTTATGTATAGCTGTAGCATATCTTTCAAAAGCACTTGCATATAAGGACTAGTCCCCATTAGTGATAGAAAAAAAGCCACACACTGCAGGAGAGCTTTGAGTTTTCAATTTAATGTCTGTGGTGTGCCACCAGTAGACCAGGAACCATAATTTGAAAACCACTTAATTTATTTCAAATGTCTCTTACAGAAAGGTTTGGTTCTTTCCTGGCCTTTGTCAGAGGGTCCGCACTGCATCCTGGGAAGTGTAGTCCTGTCTTTAGTGTCTTGCAGAATTACTTAAATAAGAAGCCATGCAGTCAGACTACACTTACACCCAGAATCCCACGGAGCCCACGACTTTTAGTCCAATGTGGCAGTTTCTGCTGCTTCAAGTCTGGTCCAGCCACTCTGCCCTCTTTGGTGCCTTACACGTATGAACATCTACTGTTTCCTCACACTCCTTGCAACGGACTGCACAACACCAATGGAATTTACACTCACATTTTGTGATACGAGTGACACGGGTAGTGTCATAACCACGTCCACAGCACATGACCTCGCAGCCATCTGTTCCCCGAGAGACCTTATCACATACCCTGCCGGCAGTGCCCAATGAACCTGTTAAAACAGCATTATACAGCAATTTAGTATGAGGAACAATTACATTTAAATTGGTCTTTAAACAACAATTCATAGATTACATAAAGGGACATGTCTATCACTACAACACCACAACTAATGTTCTGCTAAAATAAAGTTTTATATGGTACCCTAAATTGTTCTCCCTCCAAGTTCAATGTTCTATCTATAGTAATAGAACATCCTCTTGCTAAAGCCCTTGAGATATTTTGTTTTATGATATCACCCACAATTTCATTCTAAAGTGTGGCTTCATGCAGGTGTAGATTGCTACAGGATGATGAGGAAAGATGAGTCTCCCTCTGCAATGTGGGAAAAAGCCTGAAGGTACAGCTATGGCGTAAGGTCATGAAATTATCTCCTGTCTCATGTATAGACACAGCGAGCATCTTCATTGCATAGAGATCCATACAGATGTTAACATATGCCTAATAATTTTTTTCACTTTGCCTTAATTTTGTCCGTTTAACACATTGAAGAAACAACATCTGCCTTAGTTCAGCTCAATAATTCTAAATCCGCCTTTGGTTGACTGAACTTTATTATGTAACAGATTAGCGTTAGTCATGCCATCGTTGTGCTTATTTAGACCTGATTTGAGATGTGAATGATCACATAAAGTGTTAGTGATGGATCTTATTAAAGGTTAATGCTTTTTAGAGTTACCTCAAACATGTCTTAGATAATTTTAACATAGACAAAACCATCACCTTGTTTTTTATTATCATCACTTTTATTGGTATGACTTTCCCTTGCTTTCTTTCTACCTGGAGCACTAACAAGCCTTCCTTCAGGTGGAAGGGTTAAATCCTGGTTCCTGGCACTATTAAGTAATCTGGCCATGCCTGTGAGCATTCTCCTTAGCTGTGATGTGACATCCACAAGACTTTTCCCCCCCTCTCTGACTACATGTCATGTTTAAAGGCAGAACATTCCTTTGATAATGAACTCCTTTTGATCTTTCTCTGTGGCCTTGCCCATCTCCCTCTAGCAACTGTTAGAGTGAAAGGATTAAGGACCCATTAAGTCGATTCAGTAGCATACCCTAGGGGATGTATACCAAGGAGAACTATTTGAGTGAATCATATCTCCGTAACAAGGTGGCAATGTAGCAAGGCATTAATAATACAAAACATTTCTTCTCCTAAATTTGTTTTTGCTGAAATTAACCTCTTTTCTGCCTAAAAAACGTAGACCAGGGTTAAATAATGTTGCTTTAGTATATCCTTCAAGCTTTAATGAAACAGATTTATTCATGAATTGATCAGGGGATTTCAAATTTTCTTAGAAAATAGCGAGATTGGAAAAAATATTCAGTTCTGCCACTTTTATAGCAGAGCTATTTTTCCTTAAAATTCTAAATTCCCTGGTTGATTACCAATAGCTCACGGGTTAGTGGATAACCCTGCAAGAATAACATTTTTGATTGTTTCATTTACAACTCTACACAAGTAATCATTGATATTATTTATTTTCATATTTCCCGAGATTCCACAGTTTTGTATAATGAGGAATAGGTTAGAGAGATTATTTACTAATGAGAGAAATCTGCAGGTAGTATGATAATGAGTGGTCATCCAAAACCATCTCCAAAGTCCCTCAAACTATGGCCTCACACCTTCGTGTGTCTCTTAGAGTTTCTAAGGCAATTTACATTAAATTTGCCAAGTTCCAATGGACCCTGTCTTGCTTTTCTGAACCTGATTAGGCGTTAAAGAATTCTATGAAAAGTCCTACAAACTGAGCATTCAAATCCACACACAAGCAAAATTGGTGACAAAGCTTTCTATCAAATCGTTAGTGTTAGCAAACTCTAATGCTATTTAAATTACTGTTGATGTGTATAAAAAGCCAGTGGAAATCAATCAGATAACCCATCTAGTGCCCATTTATTGCCCTTTGCTAACGCCTCACACACAAAAAATACCAACTAATATACTGTCCTAAATATTTTTCCCTGCAAATGTATATCTCCTTATACAATAGATGAGTCACAAAACAATTATTAAAAACATGTAAATAATATCTAAAAATCTAAAAAGGACGGGCATTCAATCAGAAAGAGAACGCCAAGGGAACTAGCAGAAATATTATCTTCTCAGCACTAGAAGCAAGATATATGTGCAAATGTGTTAATAAATTCTTAAACTGCTTAACTGTGCAGGCACACCGATTAAGGAACGCAAGAAAATCCGTGGGGGGCAGGTTTTTAATGAAAAAAATTGATATACCTTTAGCTTATACACGGTTTTGTAAAGGGAAAAAAATTAATACTGTCACTAGGGAAATTTAATGTTGCACTCATATAATATTTTTGTGTTCTTATTCTAAATAAGTATGAAGTCAAAGGTTTTTTTTTTACTTTATAGAGGAGTGTTTAGGAGCATACTTTATTTAAAGGGACATTCTACACTCTATAAACGCTACAGTCTGCTACAGTGGTATGGCGCCCCCATGACTCCTTGCCTTTCCATGAAAAGGAGTCAAACCATATTTGCATGATTTGACATTCACCCGGGACCCTCCAGCAACTACAGTACTTTTCATTCTACTTTAACAATATCACTTTTCTGTATCTTTTCACACTACTTGGCTGAGCTTGTGCAAGGGATAAAGTGGTTATGGTGCTTAGAATGCCCCTTTAACCAACCTGACCTCCCCCTTTGAACTTATGAAAATGTGTTATTTTACAGGAAGAGAAATTACAGTTCTATTTTATTCAAAACATGCAAACATGGATCAAACTAAAATGTAGTTTGTTTTTTCCACCTAGTTTAAACAGTAAAGAAAATGAGCTGAACAGGTAGACCAGGGGTTCCCAAAAAGTAGATCTCCAGATGTTGTAGAAGTACAACTCCCATGATGACAAAAGCATCATGGGAGCTGTAGTTTTACAACATCTGGATATTTACCTTTTGGGCACCCCTGAGATAGACCACCTTGACAAGTCTGTAGGCACTCATCACCTCTCAAAATATTCCCTCTTCCAATGAGCAGCCTGATGCAAAGGCCAGTATCTTGAAATGACTATAAACATGGATAACAAGGTTCCCTAAACATAATTCTCATTTCTTTATAAATTAAAAGCAATGCTTTGTTAATATTGACTTGTAAAACAAAAAAGAGAAATGTAATGAAATTACATATGTTTTAGCATATCACAATATCATATTTCAATGGATCGTACAGTCTTGAAAATAACATTTTTCTGGGACTATAGGTTCCCTTCTGTCCACCCACCTTTGGTATAAAAAAAAAAAAAAAGAAGTTAAAGAAGGATTACTTACCTCATTTCCAGGCAATCCACTGCTGGAGCAATGGATTGGAGATACGCACGCATGGCAAAACGATGCATTCCTCCAATCAAGTGCTGCTATCAGCAGCATTTGACTTCAGGACCAAGTTTTACTCGGTTCAGGATGAGGGAGCGCCTCTAGTGGCTTTCAGCAAGACAGACACTGGAGAGGTGTATTTAACCTTGCAATGTAAACATTACAGTTTTTCCCATGTAATACGTTGCATGGTTAAAATGGCAAAGCCACTGGACCCAGACCACTTCATGTGTCGATTTTAGAGACTGAGTGAGCATATGTATTTATGCGTGAGGCTGAGTTTTTGTATGTAGGAGATTGTCCGTGAATATATTTAGCAGTTTTTAGAAGCTCAAAAGCTCCACTCAATTTATAAATAATTACATTGTAACATATATAGTAGCATACTCAGGTTTATCCTCTGAAGTGAAATTTGAGAGGAATTCAAAGTATTCGAAGTAGACTTCAAACGTTAGGCCAAAATAGCTAAAATTGAAAAATTCTCCAAATTGATTCTGTTTTCAGCTTGGCTATTTTGCCCTTAAAATTACATGTGAATTAATGTTTAATTTCGAGCAATTCTCTTTTTAGTCTACTAAATTTTTTACCCTCACGGTAAACATTTGCAACCCAAGCGATAGGTCATTTCTGCTCATTTTATTTGAAGTAAAGTGACTTCTGGTGCCAAAATAGCAATCTGATTTGACCTTCTTAGTTACTTTTTATTCTGCTAAATGATCAGTACCAACTAACTTTAAAAAGTTTGCACAAATTTGCTAAATGAAAAACAAAACAAAAAACATTTCCTTATGGTTTAGAATAATTTATATACGTTTTAACTGTTTTAAATAAAAAATAATGTAATTCCTCTGCTTTAAATGATATACTAGTTGTTAAATTGTGACCTGAGTTAGTTACAATGTGTTAAAAGATAAATCCATAATGTATATGTATTTTAAACAATACTGATCTGTTGAATCTAAGCTGTTTTGGCTGTTATTTTAAATCTTTAGGAACTGACGAGTTCCAAACAAGAAAGGAAGTGTCTAAGTACTGTATATTTTGACTGACAAAAGATCAAACAAGGTGCTGAGTTTTGAAAATAATTATCTCCCTCCTGCAGCAGAATTTAGCTAGTGGTTTTCACAACATTTCACTCAACTCATCCCTCAGAGAAGATAAATAGATTTTACCTGCAGACTTGTCCATCACACAATAATCAGGGGAGTTTTCGAAATAGACTAAGTCCTTTTTGGTGGGTTTTCTGAAGTTCTGATTGGCCACTGTGAAACCACTGCCATCTTGATTCATGGTAACCTGGATTGCACCATTATATTTTCTTCTGAGATAGTCCCCTGTTTTTCGGAAGTCTGACATAGCACGCCAACAAGTCCTTAATGTACATGACCCACTGACCCCATGGCACTTACATTCAAGCTTCATAAAACGTTTAACTGCCTAAAATAAAGGAAAAAAGATATCAGATTAGCTGGCATACTTAACAGCACACAGGGATTAGCGTGTGTCAGGCACTCATAAGATAAAGGAACTGTTTTAAACAATATATCACATGTTCACAACCTCTGTTGAGCAGTCCTTCCCAAAATACCTTAATAATTCTCAGCAAAACAGCTCATCTCCCGCTCTTTCTATCCTTTTCTAATACCACAGTAAAACAAACAGGCCTCTAAAGAACCATTACATACAACAAATGAAATTAGGAACGAGGAACCTATTCTACACTTAATAAATAAAGAATAGACAAGAATTCCAAATATGCCATTTAAAGTTGATGCTACAATATGGGCGAAGAAAATCTGGCAGATAAATGCCTCCCACAACTCTCTCTTCCACTTTAGATGTTATCTCATGACTCCCACTGAAATCATAACTATTTAATTTCTGTATTTTAGAGGAATATACTTTTTCTAGTGTGGAAGTATATTTATTGCACTAAATACGTGCTGTCTTCTTCTCTAGTGTGTTCTGTCCCAAAAGTATTAACTGTCTGAGTGCCGCATGTGTGCAACACATTGAACATAGTTTAGCTCTGGTACTAATAATAATGTACAAACAAATTGACAGGTCTGGAGATTTTATTATTTTGGTCTAATTTCTGTTTTGTTTTTATCATTGGTTGGAAAACACTAGCATTATATCCAACTCTTTTATATATCAACTAAGCAGAAACGTAGCCCAATCAAGAGTTTTGGAGGGTACTATCTTCTCTTTGCTGTAGACCCCTGATCTCTTTAATTGATAACACATCTTGTCTAATTTCTCTATATCTAAACCAAGGTGACTTACCATTCTTCCACACCGATTGTTGTGAAGGTTCATTAAGGCCCTTGCATCTTTAACTTTCCTTTCTTCGGCGTCCACAAAATCTTTGGCAAATTCAATCCCAAAGTCAATATTGTCACTGCAGCCTCCCCAGTCAAACTCCCCTCTTTCGTCCTTGTAACGTCCCCGTTTCTTAGGATCACAACTGCAAGACTTAAGTTCCCCTTGGCTACAGGCTCGGGTAATAGCATAAACCACTCCAGCATATGAAATAGCATAGACAAAGGCTGTTTCTCGGCTACCTATGAAATTAAGTGTATACAAGTCATTAGTTTGTTTCTATGCATAATATTGGTGTAAGAGATCTTTATAAAGTTCCATAGATTGATATAACATTGAATGTGAAATCTGATTAAACAAATTATTGATATTTATTTTTTTTAAAGTGACTGATCTAGTCTCTCAGTCTGAATACCTGTACCCAATTATTTTCCAGTAATTAGTTACACACAAATAAAACATAATAATAATATTATTTTTTTTACCTGTAATAGTCAACAGGAATAAGAACAATCATAACAGAAAATGGTAAAATGAGTAAAAGGAAAAAATATATATTTTAACTCATTGGAAAATCTAAGAGACCTAATTGAGTGCTTGAAAGAATTGGTGAGCCTTTTATCCAAAGTTCTAAAAGTCATGTTATCCTTTTTGACTTAGTGAATTAAAGCTCTCCAAAGGGTGCAAACCACACGTACCAAGTTATTGTATGGGGTTCACAGTAACAACATGCAGGTCCTCAAGAGCTTACATCAAAGGAAGAAATTTGGGAGCTCGAGAATTAACACTAGTAATTGCATGTTGAAGCATGATGCTATCGGAGCCATGGCATGGCTTATTTATTAGATAGAAGTATTTTAAGTAATATGAAAATATGCGTTCATGTTTAGTATTGTTAAACAATGAAACACAGCTGCACAGCCTCCTCATATCTCCTCTGGGGATGATTCATTCAACTGATTGGCTTTTATCTTCTAGCAGTGAAGATCTTTAGGACTCAGGGATCTCAACCCACCATAAATCCAGCAGAATAAAAAAAAACCCTCCTGGAATTGATAGCAGGTATTTGATGCTATATTTTCATTTATTAATGGTTTTCAGTTCTTGTGAAATATCTATAAATGAAAAATGCACGTGGGTCCAAGGCAAATCAGAATAGCTTCCAAGCTCCCTTTGCTACCTGTCATGACTACAGATTATATATTTCAGACAGAGCGCATTAAAACAATGTACTCCTTATGTTATTTAATGTTTTGTCATATACAACTGCATCAGGTTAAGTAAACTTTCCCAAGACATCACTCATTGACAAAGGATTTATTGGTACATAAAACATAGGGGAGCCCTGTTGACAAGACCTATAAAACTGGAACACTATTTCCAAGCAGCTATTTTCTCAAATTCTTTTCTGCATAAAGCAATCTCCAAGGATTAGATAGGGAGCTATCTGCTTACCAAAATTATGCCCCCTTGCATTCCTTCTAAGCGTCCCTAGTAAAATCCATCAAAACGTAGTATCATTGTTTAGTAGATATACCCACAATGAAAACAAGTATAGATTTAAGGATGCATTTTTTCATTGGGGTAAATCTAAAAACAGCTGCAAAAGCTGCAGATCTCTTGTCTGCAGCCTTTGCAAGCCTTCCCCGTCTAACCCCGCCAAGACTTTCTGTATCTGTTCAATCACAGACTTTCCAATGCAGCTCAAAGAGAAGTCTTTGCAAGGCAGGTACTCTAGACATTGCTGACTCTTGAGTTTGGCTCCACTAAGCCATCCAAAGATGTAACATAACCTGATGTCTGATTGACAGCCAACAAACCAGTATTCCTAACACTATAGTGACGCTGTAGCTATTTAGATAAGTATCTGTTTATTAAATGTATAGCTTTCTCTTTGCCAGTGTTGAGCCTCCCTGTGTGATGCTGCCGCTGTGCCTCCCGCGGTGTCATCGAAGAGGTGTCATAACCAGGCATTAGTCCAATTTAAAGCTCTTCATAAAGGAGTATTGGGGACTGATGCGCATGCTGGCGAGCACCGTGCGTTCATTCAATCAAATGCTTCTCCTATTAGGTGCATTTGGTCACATGACCAAGTAAAACTTGGTTGTTGCAATGGAAGACAGTTCTTGTGGCCACTAGAGATGTATTTAACCATGAAATGTAAACATTACAGCTTATACAAAAATTACAATGTCTTGCATTGCAGGGTTAAAACTACAGGTCCAAAGCACCCAGACCACTTCAATGAGACAATGAGATTGTGTGGTCTGGGTGCCTTTAATGGTCCTCTAATAAGATGTGTGAGCATTCTAATATTACTAATCACTATTAATTTTTATAATAGTTTCTTAATTAGTGACTTTGCTCCATGTATCATTTTGGTACATACTTAGTGGACGATCTTTACATGTTTCACATCAACACAGAGCACTGTCACTGTTCCCATGTGAGCTATATGATATGGTGAATCAGAACATGGGGGGGCATCGAAAAAGACGAGAGTGATGTCATCATAGTGGCATGTGCCACTGATAGCCCTTAGGCGTTATAATATGTTACTTCTTTATAGAACCCTTAGAATCATATGCCTTGAAAATTACAAATTGCACTTACATAGAATTTTTGTTTCAAGTCTGTATAGAATTACTGCATTACTGAGTAAACTAACCATTCTGTGCTTGTTTTCTAACATTTGAACTAAATTACCTTATTTTCTACTAAGAGGACTGTTTATTTCAGATTGCAATAAGTACCGTCCAACCCCTACAATCCTGTGTCTGGGTTTGAAGGTCCTACATATTTTTTTCACACAGATTCCACACTATCCAAATACCTGATGCCCTGCTCAGACATCTCTCTAAATGTTTACATATCCAGTTACTGTTTAGACAATTCTCTTTGGGGTTTAGGTATCTTCAACACAATCAGCTTCTTTGCACGATACTAATCTCCAATAACCACTTGGTTCATTTATACAACAAGTCACTTTTATAAGGAGATACAGCGGCGTAGTGCTCGGTTACAAGCATGATAGACTGATGTGTGCAGATGTCTAATTTTATGCATCGGGTATCATTTATTCCTTTTAATGTATTTTTAAAGCACCTACATATTCTATAAAATAGTTAAACAGCAGTAAAAGCCATAAGAAAAGCATAGTAAAATCACAAACAGTAAAATCACAAACAAAAGACACATATACACAAACACATACAACTAACTAGATATCAGATGGATATCTAATATGGTTTGGTTAAATGTTAATTTTAGCAACAGTATTCTGAGATATTAAGAACTCAGTAAAGATAATAATAAATCATAGATAGTAATAGCTAAGAGGTGATACATAATGATTTTTTTTTTTTCAATTTCTTTTTTTTATTTATTTTTAAAGTTTGTTAGGCTAGAGAAAGGAATAAGGGGAGGGAGAGTGTAAAGGGGCATAGTAGCATATATACACCGTTACAGTATAAAACACAAGTTGCAGTATATGGGAGCAAGGACGAACTACATGTTTGCAATATAGTTTCAGTTTCAAAGTGAGGAGAGCAAGCGAGTGAACCGGCGATACTATATAGACATTGTGCCCATAGTATATCTCCTTTGTATATTTTATTTAAAAAAATATTTTTGGATGTGGCATGAATATAACAGATGAACAGCCTGGGTATTATGAAAGTGTATAATAAAATGGATAATCTTGTACTTTAATATGCTCTCACTATTTAGCTAGGCTACCTTAGCTGCAGCAAAATGACTGGGCGAAGACTTTTTCAGTCATACGTATGTTTCTGGCTGTCACGCATGTTACGTGGAAAGACTTCAGGAAGCAGAATGATGGATGACAGCTCTACCTCCCAGGATGTAGGCAGCAGGAATTAAATCACTGAACTATGGCTTACCATTATGGAGGTCCCACATTAATATCATTACTACTGCTTCACTACTGTTTCCAAGGAGATATATTGAGGGGGTTTGCTCTGTTTGCCCCCTAAATACATAATAGATACATAATAGATTTGATGGCCATTCTACAAAAAATTTTAGTCCATGTAATACTTAATTTTGATCCAAGTATATGCCATTTAATACAGATTTTCTACATGTTTAATGGCCGGCTCTCGAGACAAACTTCCAGATTGAAATACAAAGGACTGCTGGTATTTACGCTGATTTTCCCTGTTCTTGTTGATGGTTTATGTTCACCTGTGTATTAAACAAACATGTCACTATACGTGAGCAGAACTGCACTTGATCTGAGACATGCGCTCCTCTAATGCTTATTTCTTCTTTTGGAAACCTGCGAGTTTCCCTGTGTGTCCCTCTCATGGTTTTTCATGTATTTACATGCAAGTTTCATAATCTACTTTGCTGCCTCACACTGTGATCTTAACAAAAAATAAATAAAATAGAGAGAACTTTCTCATGAATAAAAATACATTTATAAAAAAAAAATATATACGGGACATGTTTTTGCTGAAAATGTGACAGCTTAAAGGACCACTATAGGCACCCAGACCACTTCAGCTCAATGAAGTGGTCTGAGTGCCAGGTCCAGCTAGGTTTAACCCTTTTTGCTGTAAACATAGCAGTTTCAAAGAAATTGTTAATCCAGCCTCTAGTGGCTGTCTCATTGACAGCCGCTAGAGGGCTTCCGTGCTTCTCACTGTGATTTTCACAGTGAGAAGACGCCAGCGTCCATAGGAAAGCATTGATAATGCTTTCCAATGAGACTGGCTGAATGCGCGCGCAGCCCGGTGCTGGAAAAAGGTAAGGGATTAACCCCTTCCTCTCCCTTCAGCACCACGGGAGTGGGACCCTGAGGGTGGGGGCATACTCAGGGCACTATAGTGCCAGGAAAACACGTATGTTTTCCTGGCACTATAGTGGTCCTTTAATGTAAAAAAATCAGAAATTAAATTTCTTGTAATTCAATAATGGTGATTGGAGACCTCTCCTAAAGGCCCAATAGTGCAAAGTATCTCCTTGCCACCTATGATGACACATGCCAACAGAGTCTGTAACTTTAGAGACAATTATTTTTCAAGCTGGTAAATAGCATATATTTAATTGAATCCATATATATTACATTCCAGTTAAAATCAATATTTAAGCCTTATGCTTACTTTTTTAAAAAAAAATGAAGTCTTGCTTTTAAAAAGTATTTAGTACCGTATTATTATACCATGCAACGTGGCTGTGTCTGCTGATATCATACTCTGACTTTTTTACAAGAGTTGGTCAGTTCTCAGAAAACGCATAAATGCCCATTTGAGTATGTTCAGTCTACAAGGGAAAATGCTGTTATGCAAACTATATATGCAGGGATCATTTGAACATTAATCAGACAATCTAGCCCCTCTCAATGATCCATAGGTATGCCCCTCCTCGTTCGCTCCGCTCTGCCCGTGACCACCTCCTGACCGCTGCTCGCACCCGTAGAGCCAACTCGCGCTTGCAGGACCTCTTGCGGGTGGCTCCTTTCCTATGGAATAGCCTGCCTACCACCATCAGACTCTCCCCTAGTCTTCAATCATTTAAGAAGAGCCTTAAAACCCATCTCTTCAGGAAAGCTTATGGCCTCCCAGAGTAACCTTTACCTTACATACCTGTCTCTTGCTCTCTCTACCCTCTCCTCCAGCCCTGCTTCACTCCCACCCTATTTGATTGCTATTTCCTGTCTTAACGTGTCTTATACCCCACCTCCTATAGACTGTAAGCTCGTTTGAGTAGGATCCTCTTCAACCTCTCATTCCTGTAAGTTTTCTTGTAATTGTCCTATTTATAGTTAAATCCCCCTTCTTATAATATTGTAAAGCGCTACGGAATCTGTTGGTGCTATATAAATGGCAATAATAATAATAATAATAACTATGCCCTGTATTCTATTTAAAGTGATACACAAACATTGTAAGTGACTGTTAGGCTTATGCAATCAGTTTCGAATGAATTGCAATTTGACCAAATGTTGGAGCAGTCAGCTGGTGATCCAAATTACATAACTCCGCAGTGCCATACGTCTGTATCACAAAACAAACATTATGGGCAATGGACAAGCAGTTTCACTTGATTCCTCTATTCTGGCCGTGGCGGTGCCAAAAAAGTAGATGATTGATGAGAAAAAAGATGATTGACGGTTAGGGGACAGGCAGTAACGGTTGATTTTATTAACATATCAAGTGAGAAGTGACCAATACAGAGAAAAAAAGCAGTATCAGTAAAAATATGTATATTTAAAATATATAATATATAAATATATTTTTTTAATGCTCCTCCTATTTTCCCTCTATTGGTTACTTCTTCCTACTTGAGCTGTGAACCAAGTCGTGGGAAAATGTACCTATCAATAAACTGTTTTATATGTAATATATACATTGGAGTACAGTGATTGCCCATTTTCGTGCCCTTTCAAGTGATCTAAATCATTTTTCCTGAAATGATTGCATGGACCAAAACTGTCTGAGTCAAAACGCCACATGGATGAATTATGGTCCACCCAATTGAATTTTTCTTTGGACAACTTGATTTGGCTACAGCTAATATTTCTGCTGTGTTCAAGTCTACTGAATATAATGTTTCCCTTTGATAACCAAGGAAAAAAATGCTATTCAATTACCAGCAATATCCTTTTAGAATATAATATAACCTAGCCCTAAATTGTAACAGAAGCAAGCAATACAAGAGCTGTCAATCAAGGTTGGCTTTCATACAAGTTCCTTTCAATAATAGTTTTAGACAAGAGAACATACTTCTTAACATGACTCTCCCAAAGACTGTTTGGTCTCTGTCCAGAGTGCTGCAGTTCCAACGATAATGCCTGAATTGATGCTGACACTCCTTGATCCACTCCTTTGCCCCCTCGCCAATAGCTTGCATGATGTCAGGGTGCTTTTGACACAGCTGTTTCTGCTTGTTAACCAATCCTGGGATGTTATTACAGATCACCCTTGCTCCCAGTGCTCCGATGTACCTGCGGAAAGGACATTATGTTAATCTAAAAACATACCATAGATACACTTCCAAACAAATACATTCCGTTAATCAATTCAGTTCTTTTTTTACTAAAAAATAGACAATCATGACATGCTTTGTCAACAATTTACCATAAATTTTCCGGAAAAGTGCTTGTACTCTGATATACTGTGTACGCACGCATTGACAAGTACCCTTTTGACTTGCATATTTTCCTTTAAGTTGGCAGGAAAATTCTTTTTTTTTTGTGGAGACCTAGGATTACTGGAAAGCCAATGAACTATAAAACTATATCTCTGGTATAACGTTCAGCATATCCAATTTAGTTTTTTTTCATGAAATTGAATTCTCTTTATTAAACTATAGATTGCACACCAAACATATAACAGTTATTATAATTTTATAATTTGGTATCATCAATGGAAACCTATTCTATACCGTACAGGGGAAAGTGGGTGACAATTTAACATTTAATTTAATTTAATGTTGTGTTGATCCGTTCCCTACCCTTGTTGTATATTTCTCTACTTGCGCTTCAAGACATGTAAAGGCATGTCTGTGAGATAAAAGACACTAGAATCTGGCAGTCCTGGCGATTTTCATAAACAGTATCATCCCGATATACAAGTATGCAAAGGAATCTGGACGTGGGTGGTTAAAGTGCGATACTACCAAACAACAATAAATAACTGCGTGCAGGAGAGAGGAATTTCCTAAAAAACACACAGGGGTTTAACAACTAAATATCAAATTCTAGTGATTTGAAAACCGGATTGCAACAAGTTGGCCAAAATACCCACGATGTGACTACACTTAAGATGTAATTTATTGGTAAATTCTCTACAATTTAGTATTTAGCTAATAAACCTCAAATTATATATCAATCTATTACCATTTTTACATCTATTACCATGCAATATTGCAAATTAAAATAAAGGCAAATATTTTAATACACTTTTTATTCTTGTGATAACCTAGAACATTAGTGTCGTGCATCATTAGTTTTGCAGGAATAAGCACATATCGCATTTAATGTATCTACAAATAAATGCAACATTAGGACTGAAAAAAGGACTGCTACATAAAAAAACCAAACTAGTAAACATGTTAATAGACGAACGGTGTATATCTAAAGAATATTTTGTATGCTTGTAAAATTTTAAGGCAAAAAAAATATTATTTGTGATTAGTGATGTCGCGAACATAAAATTTTTGGTTCGCGAATGCGAACGTCCGCAAATGTTCGTGAACGGGCGAACCGGGCGAACCGCCATAGACTTCAATAGGCAGGCGGATTTTAAAACCCACAGGGACTCTTTCTGGCCACAACAGTGATGGAAAAGTTGTTTCACGGGGACTAACACCTGGACTGTGGCATGCCGGAGGGGGATACATGGCAAAACTCCCATGGAAAATTACATAGTTGATGCAGAGTCTGGTTTTAATCCATAAAGGGCATAAATCACCTAACATTCCTAAATTGTTTGGAATAACGTGCTTTAAAACATCAGGTATGATGTTGTATCGATCAGGTAGTGTAAGGGTTACGCCCGCTTCACAGTGACAGACCAAACTCCCCGTTTAACGCACCGCAAACAACCGCCGCAAACAGTCCATTTGCACAACCGCAAACTCCCCATTTGCACAAGGTTGGATACCAAGCTAGCCATGTCCCGTTCCTTGTCCTCACTGATGTCATTGAAGGTCTCTTCCTCCACCCAGCCACGTACAACACCAAGGGTCCCCGAAAAGGTGACAACAAGCCCCCTGGGACGCCTGCTGTGTTTGGTCTTCCACCTCCTCAAAGCCACCTTCCTCCTCTGACTCCTCTTCTTCAGACTCCTCTCTCTGCGTTGCCTCTATCTGCGTTATTATAAGGTGTGTTAAGTAGTACTATTCCTATCAGTTTAATCCCTGTTACGTCCCCTATCAGGGGACGTGTATATGACATCGATTTTAGGAACCGGGAGATGGAAAAAGATTCTTAGTCGGTCCACCTACTTCAAATTTGGGGCACTGCGCGTGCAATCTAATGTGCCACCAGATAGAAGTGGTGTGTTAAGTAGTACAATTCTTATCAGTTTAATCCCAATGTCACGACTACTAGTGTGGTCCAGCACGCAGAAACTATGTAAACATATACATAGGCAAGAAAAGGAAAATAAAAGGACAGAGTGTAAACCGGACCTTAGAATAGCCGGACTAATACGCTAGAGACAGAGAATGGTCAAAGGGAAAGCCGAGGTCAAGGAAGCCAGAAAATACACAATACCGTTTACACAAGCCAAGTCAGGGAAACCAGAATTCAGAATAACCAGGGAAAAGCCAAGGTGCGTCAAGGTTCCGAGTGGAAGCTGTAGAAGATTGGGTGTCCTGTGTTAGCCAGTCAACTATGTCCTCAGAACTTTTCGAGTTCAGGGTACGTGGCCTCTGAACACTGGGCATTATTCTAGGGCCAAAGGGAATCACAGCATCACAACCACGACGGCCCCTGCGGGGGTAGATGCTGTAGGCCTGACACACACGCTTGCAGACAACTAACTGCTATTCAATCTATTACAGTCAAAAAAAAATATTTTTTTTAAATGTACACTACTGTTACACCAGATATGAGTTGCACTGGTGTGACACTGTGCCCTGGCAGGCCCTGAAACGCACACGTGTGAAGGAAACTGACTGCTATTATATTACAGTCCAAAAAGTTGTTTTTTTGTTAAATGCAAGCTATTGTGACACCGGATATGAGTGGTGGCACTGGGCAAGTGGGCACAGTATACACTGTGAGCCTGACAAATGTACACTACTTAAATGTACACTACTGTTACACCAGATATGAGTTGCACTAGTGTGACACTGTGCCCTGGCAGGCCCTGAAATGCACACGTGTGAAGGAAACTGACTGCTATTATATTACAGTCCAAAAAGTTTTTTTTTTGTTAAATGCAAGCTATTGTGACACCGGATATGAGTGGTGGCACTGGGCAAGTGGGCACAGTATACGCTGTGAGCCTGACACACACGCTGGCAGACAACTAACTGCTATTCAATCTATTACAGTCAAAATTGTATATTGTTTTTAAAATGTACACTACTGTTATACCAGATATGAGTTGCACTGGTGTGACACTGTGCCCTGGCAGGCCCTGAAACGCACACGTGTGAAGGAAACTGACTGCTATTATATTACAGTCCAAAAAGTTGTTTTTTTGTTAAATGCAAGCTATTGTGACACCGGATATGAGTGGTAGCACTGGGCAAGTGGGCACAGTATACACTGTGAGCCTGACAAATGTACACTACTTAAATGTACACTACTGTTACACCAGATATGAGTTGCACTAGTGTGACACTGTGCCCTGGCAGGCCCTGAAATGCACACGTGTGAAGGAAACTGACTGCTATTATATTACAGTCCAAAAAGTTTTTTTTTTGTTAAATGCAAGCTATTGTGACACCGGATATGAGTGGTGGCACTGGGCAAGTGGGCACAGTATACGCTGTGAGCCTGACACACACGCTGGCAGACAACTAACTGCTATTCAATCTATTACAGTCAAAATTGTATATTGTTTTTAAAATGTACACTACTGTTATACCAGATATGAGTTGCACTGGTGTGACACTGTGCCCTGGCAGGCCCTGAAACGCACACGCGTGAAGGAAACTGACTGCTATTATATTACAGTCCAAAAAGTTTTGTTTTTTTTAAATGCAAGCTATTGTGACACCAGTGAGTGAGTGGTGGCACTGGGCAGTCCCTGAAACGCACACTCGTGAAGGAAATTGACTGCTATTATATTACAGTCCAAAACGTTTTTGTTTTTATTAAATGCAAGCTATTGGGACACCAGTGAGTGAGTGGTGGCACTGGGCAGGCCCTGAAATGCACACTCATGAAGGAAACTGACTGCTATTATATTACAGTCCAAAAAGTTTTGTTTTTTTTAAATGCAAACTATTGGGACACCAGTGAGTGAGTGGTGGCACTGGGCAGACCCTGAAACGCACACTTGTGAAGGAAACTGACTGCTATTATATTACAGTCCAAAAAGTTTTGTTTTTTTTAAATGCAAGCTATTGTGACACCCAGAGGCGGCTCTAGACTTTATGAGGCCTTAGGCGAAACTCAAACATGAGGCCCCACTAACAAAAAAAGTGTCACATATACACATTGATGCACAGTTTACCTGTGTATGTGCCTGAGAGTGTGTCTGACAGAGAGTATCCTTGTGTGTGAATGTATGTCTCTGTGAGCATGTTTGGGTTTTTGTCTGAGACCCTATGTGTATGGGGTAGCTGCTTGAAGTGTGTTGTGTGTATGGTGGGGGTGATGGTGAGAAGGAGAGGCGGGTGATGGTGAGAGGCGGGTGATGGTGACAGGGAGGTGATGGTGACAGGGAGGTGATGGTGTGGGGGGTGATGGTAATGTGAGAGTGAGGGCTGATGGTGGGGGATGAGGCTGAGGGTGGTGGGGGATGAGGTTGAGGGTGGTGGTGGGAGGCTGAGGGTGGTGGGGGCTAGTAAGGCTGAGGGTGGTGTGGGGGGGTGAGGCTGGGGTGGTGAGGCTGAGAGTGGTGTGGGGTGTGAGGCTGGGGGGTGGTGGGGTGGTAGTGAGGCTGAGGGGTGTGGGGGTAGTGAGGCTGGGGGTGGTGTGGGGGTAGTGAGGCTGGGGGTGAGGTGAGGTGGGGGTGAGTGGCTGGGGTGGTGGGGGTAGTGAGGCTGGGGGTGGTGATGCTGAGGGGTGTGGGGGGTAGTGAGGCTGAGGGTGTGGGGCTAGTGAGGCTGAGGGTGGTGTGGGGGGTAGTGAGGCTGGGGGTGAGGCTGAGGGTGGTGTGGGGGGTAGTGAGGCTGGGTGGGTAGTGAGGCTGAGGGTGTGGGGGTAGTGAGGTCAGAGAGATCAGATGAGTCCTTCAGGACTGTAGTGGACACTGAATACACTAGCCTAGCTATCAATTTCCCTATCAAATCAGCAGCAGCTACACTGTCCCTCCTCTCACTAAGAATGCAGCTTCACAATGAATGTAAAATGGATGCTGTCCAGGAGGTGGGAGGGTCTGCTGCTGATTGGCTGGAATGTGTCTGCTGACTCGAGGTACAGGGTCAAAGTTTACTCAATGATGACGAATAGGGGGCGGACGGAACAGCGCATATGTTCGCCATCCATGGCGAACGCGAACAAGCGATGTTCGCCAGGAACTATTCGCCAGCGAACCGTCCGGGACATCACTATTTGTAATATTATATGCTGCCCATGAAGAATTAAATTAATTACCGAAAAAGGAATTATTGACAAATTGAAGAGCTGTTAATTTTTAGCTAGATATAGCCAAACTGGAAAAATTCTAGAAATTAACTATTTTTTTACACTTACCGATCAGAGTTATTAAACTAGAGAGGTTGGAAAACTGACATGAGAATTACGAATGTTTTAAAATATTTTAAAAATATATACATATTTTTTTTATTGCATCATATATGTTTAGTGTGTTAATATAAAAGTAGTGAAATCTATCACAAAGTGCCTAATTTTCTGAAAAAGTTACAAAGGAATAATTTATATATAGTTCAAATGTTGCTCTTTTTCTTTAAAATGATCTACTAAATGTTTCCTATTTTATTAATGGTAAATGAATAACCGTTCTCCTGTAGGTTTTCCATAAATTACTCTTATTTCTAGTTACATAGTCTAGTCTGCTCCTCTATTGAATTTTCTGATATTGAATTCCTGCACTGCCTTTCCACTTAAAAACCTCATCTACCTGGCTGGCTCTTGGACTGAGCCAATGAGCTAAGCCTTGCACTGCCAGGCTTAGCTTAAATAGAGAGCTTCTAGCTCTCTGTTGACTGTAGGACTTGCACCCTTTGACTACATATTGTGGGAATATTGACAGGTGTAACCAAGAAGTTCCAGAAAGAAATTCCTAATGTATATAAATAAATGATAATGACAATAATATTAATAATAATGTCTGAGGTGTGTTAAAGTGACATGCACCACTTGACAATTATTTTGTAAACCAGCAAGGAAATACTTTTAAACAATATAGAAGCAAAAATAAAGCAAGGAAAACTTCGAAAAGTATGTAACAAATTCTTATAAACTCCCTGTAAACTTGGTCATATTGCATTGTTGTGCATATCTCTCTATCTCTCTATCTCGCTACTGAAGATTCTATGGCCTCAACCACCCCCCTCCCCCCCGCCCTCCTCCATACCCATCTCATTTTTAGATCAGTCTAGCAATTACATAAACAGAACATCATTCTGCAGCAGCATGGAGAGAAAGCTGACACCAGAGCCTGCTCTACATGAGTCACATTGATCCGACTCCCTCTCTACTGCCACTTTCAGAATGTTGCAAGGTGAAGAGATCTCCCAATGCACTTTTCCAGCATTTCTAGGGATAGGACACTGATTGGTTAGATCAGTGTTCCCCTTGAAGTGGGTGTGGAAAGCATAAGAAAGAAGAAGCAGGTAAATACAGAAAAAAATAGTATATTTATGTGATTTTTTTGAGCCTGCAAAATGAGGCAACTGTCTCACTCAAAGTTCAAACTTTTGAATGGGACAGTTGTCTCAAAGTGATGTATGTCACTTTAATATCCAAGAAAATATATTTGTGATTTTTATGATGGTGTATATCTATTTATCTAGTGTTTGTCTGTGTTTTTAGTGCTAGCAGACATTATTAAACAAGGTATCTATACCACTGAACTGAAAACATAACCATGAATATATGAGATTCATCAATAATAAGTGAATTCATTATACTTATAGAATGCCTAAAAAAGCAGTCAAAAATATATGGATGTATAAATAGTAATCCATATGCCTGGGGGAGCCAAGTGGTCATATAGATTTATAGATTCTAGAAGACACCATACAGTGTTAATGACATAAGATAAATGTGTTAATCTACAATATTCTTCATCTTATGAGAAATTGTCAAGTAGTTTTAATATAAAATTGTCTCTGGCTGCACAAACAGCATAGTGAATATTGTGAATTTTTGTGGTTATAAAATAAATGGATAAAATAATTTTTCATGGCAGAGATACCCAACCTTAGGTTTTGTGGGCCTCTAACTGATGGCAGTCAGGCATGGAAATTCTCAGCAGCAATTTACCACAGAAATGTTGAATTCTGTTTTCTAAATATGTTCTAGAGATATAATCACACCTTTGCACTTACTCCAGTATTCTAGCTGTTAATGGACTTTCATTGTTGAGAAGTGGCGGGACTGTGGTGTCTATCTATTTATGTATTTATAGAGCTTTGCAGACAGTCCTGACTTCTGGGGCTGCCATTGGTTAACACAGGGCATTACAATTGTGCTTTGAATCTAGGAGTCGGGTTATTTTTAAATGAACAACGCTTTATTTTCAATAGCAAAAATTCTTTAAGTGACACTATAGTCACCAGAACCATTACAGCTTAGTGTCATGGTTTTGGTGTCTATAGCCTGTCCCTGCTGGCTTTTTAATATAAGCACTGCCTTTCTAGAGAAAATTCAGTGCTTATATTGCTGCCTAGTACCACCTCTAGTGGCAGTCTCTCAGATGGCCACTAGAGGTGCTTCCTGATCCAGTACTGCACATTGTGTAACACAGTGTCACTAGAATGTTACTACCTTTGGAATAGCGGGCGTGGATCTTTTCCCTGGGGTCCAGTGGGGCTGCTCTGATCTGGAAATTGTCAAGCTCTCCTTGCTCTGCTCCCTCATGTGCTGTTTAGTGATAACGGAGCCGGAGTGCCTGCTCCCTGGATCACAGCAGGGCGCACGATGAAATAGAGGAAGAAGAGTAGGAAGATTACAGCTCCCTCGCTGCCCAACTCCGTTAGTGCTGAACGGGCTGTCAATAACCCAGGCACCAGGAAAAAAGTCCTATTCGCCATGACTACCTTGAGCCCGGGATTTGTTGAACAATGGGGTAACAGCATCAAGAGGTGGAGGCAGGCCTCTTTAAAATGGTTGTTGTTTCCCAAATACAGGTACCTGTAAGTATATAGTGTTGAACATTAAAATTACCTCGTTGTTTCAAGCATAGTATGTGGAGATACATGGGCAGAGACCAACAAGCCTGAGGGCAGATTTAAATTCCAAGCATAGAGTAAAGCCCCTCTCCATCTTTAAACCTCACCAGCCACTACTGTACTGACATACAAAATATGTCTAAGAGCTCGGAATGGCAAAACCATTGCATCATGGTCACCTATTGAAGGTCAACATGAAACCACTATATCCTACTAATTCAGATGCTAATTAAATAGGATGTACTCATTCCTGGGCTTTAAATTTTGGATATTTTATAAGAGTCCATATTTCAACCTTTTCTGAGCTTCCAAATTCTGTTGCTGCATTGGCTTTTCCATAGTGTTGTTTTTGATTTGTTTCGGGTAATATGGACACATTTATTTCTCTTGACACGCTTGCTGCTTGGAGTTTGGTTCTGAGTTCAGTCCTCTGTTGCCTGACTAGATCTGAATGATGTAGGTAATGATGATATATCAAATGGTAACAACAAAAGATAGAGACCAGATGTAGGGTGCACCAAAAAACAAGCTACTCAGATTGTTTACCTGATTATTCTCCACCAGAGAGACTTATGTTTAAAGCAATTGCCTGCAGTTTACTGTGTGCCTACATGTTTGATAACTGGTGTCAGTTATGTCTACACCAGCAGGTGCTTATATTGTCACGATGGACCAATCAGAAATTGAAAAAAGATATGTAAAATTAAAGGAGCTGATCTCTCTGCAATCCTCAGAGGCATAACAGTAACGTAAAGTCCCTTAAAACTTAGATAATCAGTCTCCATAGCCAGTTACATAGCTAGTAACTAAGATAATAAAAAAGATAAAGAAATAACTCATTGCCATGGATAAAAAAGGCAGTTTCCATAAATATATTTTCTTCTTTATCACTAGCCCTTCCTTCTATTTATTATTTTAATGGCATTCATTTATCTCCTATGGCTTCCAATAATAAAAGGTTTTATAAATATCACATGTATATTAAGATATTACATGTCCAACAGTTTAGTTTTTTTTGTCTTATGGTACATTTAAAAAACAAAAAAACAGGCTATTGTATTTCTTTTTATTAACAGAGAAAAGAGCATTTTCCAAAGACAGCTTGTTGAACTGGTGTGGGATTTTCCATATCATTCTAGAATCCCTGGCTGGATTTCTCGATTATCTTAGAAGAAGTAAGTATAACATTCAAACTGAGCTCCACGTGTCATGAAATCAGCGAAGCCAGGACAATCACTAATACAGAAGCACTCTTTAGCTTTATACAGGCTGTAGGATTGTTAAATTCATATCACAGACATCATCGATCAATAAATGATACAACCTATAGCAGGATTGTAACTAACAAGAATGTTAAAGCAAAATTTGATGTCCCTGACTTGACTCCTGAGATGCCCCAAAACATCTTATAGCAGGCATTTCAAACTCTGAGCACCAGATGTATGTTCAAAAAATTGTTTTACAAAAAAAATATTAACATAAGTGAGTAGCATCTACAGTAAGATATATAGAGCCCCTTTTATTTGCAATATGCACATACTGAAGGACCACTAAAGGCACCCAGACCACTTCATCTCAATGAAGTGGTCTGGGTGCAGTGGCCATTTAGTTTTAACCCTGCAATGTAAAACTTTGCCATTTTGTAGAAACAGTAATGTTTCCATTACAGAACTAATTACACGTCTAATGGCTGTCTTCCTGATTGCCACTAGAGGCACATCCACTATGAGAACTATATCAAACTCAGGTCTCGATCAAATGCAGCCTCCCCAGGCTTTCCTGCAGGGTATTATTGGATTGACTGAGATCATCAGTCTTGAGAGGTGGAGTGGCTGCAGTTAGACCACCATGGCAATGGAACAAAGGTAAGTAATACTCACCTTCTACACTGTCTTGGGGGAACTATGTTTGTATTCATAATGCTGTAGAATCCCTTTGATGAATAATGGATTTTTGATGGTAAAATTGAATCCATTCTCTGCTAGTCTAAAAATTCCTAAATTGTAAGGATCCAACAGGGCTAAGTGCTGTAGTTAGGGCACAGGGGGTATAGTGGGGGAAAGTTGATAGTGGCTAAAGGGGGGTATAGTGGATGCAGTGGAAGACATATGATATAGTGAGGGGTTAGGGGCAATAGTGGTGGAATAGAGGTTGTAGTGGGGTTATAAGGGCTGTACTGGGGGACAGTACAAAAAAACTGAACTCAACTAAAGCTTATTCCTCCCTCCCTCAGGCTTACTTCATTTTACTTACCTTCTTCCAGCACGAGACTCCCTCAGTGCTGCTCACTTCTCTGCCTCCCGTGGAGATCATAGATAAGCATTAGAGACCTAACTGCTGTATGCTCCTTTAAAATTCCCTAGAGGAAAGGATTGTATCACTGGTTTGTTATGGGTCCTTTTGCTTCACGTGACCGGGTCTTACTCATTTGCTGCTTGTCAATATGACAGCCACAAGAGGTGGACCTAACCATGCAATTTAAACATTGCAGTGCAGTGTTTTACTATCCACGGTTAAAAGGACAGGCGCACTGCACCCAGACCACTTCACTAAGATGAAGTGTCTGCAGTGGCAGTGGCTCTTTAAAAGTATACCTTACCAGGAGACTGGACATCCTTGGGCCTACTTACAGACCTCCCTTCACCCAATTACTTCTTCCTTCTCACTCTACATGGCATGGGAATGAGCCTTTTATATTTGTTCATGTTCATAGGACCCATAGTGTTTTCAAAATGTGCATTGTTATTGAACCACAACCTATTCCAATACACTCACCCCTCTGTCAATCTATATACTCTGAGGGTAGGGGGGTGTAGATATAACAAACACTTTTAATTTACTGTGCTGGAAAAATCAGCAACATATTTTTTTCTCCATTCGCTTTTTCTTTTTATATCTGGTCAATCTGATTTCTGGCATCAGTTTTTCTAATCAACTATAATTTGAATGCTGTGTTAAGAAAATCCACAAAATAAGCTGACATACTGTAGGATTATCACATAAAAGATGCATGATTTCTTCTGTGTCTGGAATTCTGGCAAATGAACAAGGTCATATGAGGATGAAAAGGGAATATTACTAGAGAGCTTATAACTGTGTGAAAATGGACAGTGTGCATGTGCAAGTCTCACTGTTATGCTGGGCCAATAGGTGCACACATGTCTTGTAGAACAAAAGATATAGATTGGAAACTTCATATCACCTGCTGATTGGAACCTGCCAGTCATGTAATCACTACTTTCATCACTCAAAACAGTCCATGTGCCAAGAACGGAAGGGACGTTCTCCTGTTGTGTTCCAAGTTATACACACTTTTAATTGCTACGGAAACTTTAAAGAAATACACGTTTTTTTAATTAAATCACTTATTTTAAAAAGATTATAGTATTGTGTTAGAGTTCTAATAATTAAAGTTAGAGTTTTTAACTAATGACGTGCAGCTCTGGGACACTTTAAGTGAATATGTCATTGACCACTAATGAATGAGAGCACAGTTGTTCTCAACTTCAGGATTAAATCAGGCTTCCCCAAACTCCGGCCCTCCAGATGTTGCTGAACTACAACTCCCATGATTCTCAGCCTATTTCATTCATAGAATCGTGAGAGTTGTAGTTCAGCAACATCTGGAGGGCCGGGGTTTGGGGAAGCCTGGATTAAATGGACACTCCAGGGTGGGTTGGATTGCACCACTAATTTTTAAAGCATTATATAAAAAATGCTTGAAAAATATTCCAAGCCTATAGCAAACTATGACCATTGCACAGGCTACATGACCATTGCACAGGCTATAGTGGACATATTTCCTTATAGTTTCAGCAATTTTAAAAAAATAATTCCACTGTAAGCTCGCTCTGTCCTTTGCAGACGTCATAGGAGGAAGCTATACTTTTGGAAAATCTGCATTTACCTCTTTTCTACAAAGGAAAATAAGTATAAGCCCAAGTAGAAAAAAAAATAAACAAAATACCAATTATTATTATTTTTTTTTTTTTTAAAAAGCTGAAATCTTTTAAAATGTTAAATGGCCCCAGTAAAAGTGATGCAGATAATGTATAAAAACAAGATTGGACACCAGGACATTTCATTAACTAGGATTGACTCAACAGCTGTTTTTGTTTGCGCAACACTATGTATGGTAGAAAAAACAATTATTTCTAAGATTATTTTTAATGATATTGTTCAGTGACAGACAAGTAGGTGCTTAAAGAGTCACCAAAATGTGTTAGGTCAATTAAGTGGTTTTGGTGTATAAATCATGCCTCTGAAATCTCACTGCTAAATTTGCTGCCATTCAGGAGTTAAATCACTTTTTTCTGTTTAAGCATCCCTAGCCACATCCCCCCTGGTTGTGACTGGCACAGTCTGCATTAAAAAAAATGGTTTTATTTACAATCTGCTGTAACTTACTTTAAAAAGCTTTTATATCCTACTCTGTAAATTGACCTTTAATTACAAACAGGTGGCCCCTACATGATCGAGGAAGCTATTAACAGAGCAGGAGATAAGAATATTTAAATTGTACAGAATTTGCAATAAAGGAAGTGTAAATATTAGATGACTCTTTACAGGAAGTGTTTAGGAAGTCTGTGTAAGTCACATGCTGGGATGTGTGACTAGGGCTGCATAAACATAGTGATTTAACTCCTAAATGGTGGAGGATTAAGCGGTGAGACGGCAGGGACATGGTCTATACACCAATACTGCTTAATTAAGCTGACATTATTTTGGTGACTATAGTGTCCCTTTAAGTATCCCAAATAGAAGGCATGTAAATACAGGCCAGTAGGTTCTAACTTTAAAACATATATTATACACATATATTATACACCCCAACAGTCCCTCAAAAACAGATAATACACTCTATCTGTAAGTAATAAATCTGCTATCATGGCTTCAAGGACAACATTTAAACATGTTAGTGTGAAAAGAACAAACATACCAACATACCAACATACACAAACATACACAGAGTTATAATGCCTGACCTTGTAAGACTCTGTTTTCCGATGAGTCAAGCAACATTAAAAATTACAAAACATAGAAGTACAACAAATAGGTTAAACTTGTATTATAAAAAAAAAAAAACAACCCATCAAAATCATATTTAACCCAATCCATACAACAGTGAGCAAATGAGAAGATATTACAAAGCACTCCAAAGGGTATTATCTAAGGCTATTTCACTATCAAAACCTTCCAATAACCAAATATATTATGAAGAGATGGGACTATATTTTGGCAGATGAGTGAATCAAATGAGGTCTCCCCTTCTTTGTACTATTTATTTGATCCGTTACCTACCGATATGTATAGTTCCATCTGGTTGAGGTATACGCAAATGAAAAATATTTGGTTAGCTCTTTGCCATTGAAATTAGAAACATAAATTGTAATGGCCATGAAAAACCAGTTGTCATGTCAACTTGTACATAAGGAAACCTCAGGTATCCCTTTTTGATCTTTGGGATGGGTTTCTACTACTATAACAGATTTATTATTTACTTCTTCTAGTAGCAACTACTTGTTTTATAAAATGTTTGTTTTTTTACAATAACTTTTACACAAGCCTTTTTATTACTTTTTATTTTTCTGCTCTCCTATACGTCTGTTTACAAAAGATTTAGCACAAGAACACAACTGATGTGTTCATTTGTAGAATAAGACTAATCGTTGCTCAATCAAGTTGGTTTAAATTGTTTTTATTGTGAGCAGGCTCCTTATATAGTCGATATATTTAAGGTGAGGAGTTCTCTGGAAATGTTAAACATATTTAGTGGTTAGTGAACCAACTCACAAATTATAAAGCTAAAATACCCAAATAAATGCCCAGAGGACATGAGGGCTAGAAATCTTGGATGTTTATATCAAATTTTCCAAATCAAATTTGATACTAAGTATACATTTTAGTTTACCAGGAAGTTAAGTAGTTAGAAAGGGTATAGGGAAAAAAAAGATTTTTCTTGTGAATGGAAGCAAAATCAGAAAGACAAGTACAAATGTTAACTCTGGGCTAAGTCAGTTCAAATAAGAAACCATAATTATCAGTTCAAATATTTTAAACAAACTGCTAGTACATTGTAATACTGGTTTATGCAAGTTGCGGATGGATTTGTGTTGCAGAAAGTGTAAAATCACAAGTTCGATTATGGACTTCACTAACACTAACACTAATATAATTTCCCCCCAAAAGAGTTCTTGATGCTATAAAAATAGGCCAGTCATGCTGTATAATCTCTAGATTACTAGAATGAATGGTTTAAGCAATATTTGATTAAAAAAACAAAAAAACTTATCTAATGGATTATTAATTATTATCAACCATAAACAGACAACTAAGCCATTTTGTGTAATGATAAAAACTGTTTAATTACAAGTCCCAGATAAATGTTGATGAAAAACCCAAAGAAGGTAACTGTTAGCAGATAATAAAAAAAAAAAAAAAGTGTAAAGTGGTAAAAAAAAAAAAATAGGACAATCACCATGGAAACCAGTGAAACAGTAGTCACATTTTATTGCTCACTCCTCCCCTTTGAGATTTTTGCATCACTTTTTAAAACAGAACACTATCACCCCAATCACCTCAGTGAAGAGGAGCATTTTTTATTTATTTTTGTAATAATTTTTTTTCTGCATTATCTTTTTAAAACATGTTGTTTCACATTAAAGCAAATGAATAATTAAATTGGGGGGCTACAAGATACCATGCGTTTATACATATATGAGTAATAAGTGCTTTCTTGACTCACTTGTGCTATTACTGGTAACATTCTCAAGGAAAAGACCTACATGATCTTGGGAACTGAATTAGCCAATAATGGTCTAACTTGTACATTAACTGTTTTCCTGTTTATATACTCTATGTAATTAATATTACGACACCACATGTTGGAGTTTGTTAACTTAATGTAATTGTATTGCATGCTGCTTTTTCGGAAGCTCTGCCTGCTGTTTTACAGACTGTAACTCATCAGAGAAGCCAAAATCATTTCTAACATCTGTATTGTCATTGTATTTAAACTGTCCACGAGAAAGCATAACGAGAAAACAAAGATATACTCCAGTACAACTGACAATCATGTAAATCTGTAGATTATCTACAAGGCCAGAAAAATTTGAGTAGATGCAGAACTGATGTCTTTTTAATATATCAGATATAATTTGTATCCCTGAAATTTCTGCAAAACACAGTGTAAAAACAATAATATGATAATTATTGTTTCTGCCACAAACGATTGGATCACGCAACTTGCATTACGACGGATGACCTTGGCAGAAGTAGTAATGATGCTGACATGATAAACTCCATCTGCCGGCTGTTTTACTTCCCTTATGTCGTGGTATAAATATTATTTATTCCAAGCCAGATATTCCGTAAAAAATGTCTCGGGAAGATATTTACATTTCATTCCTTCTCTTAAGTTCTCATAAAAACATTTTTGCAGGCCTCTATGATGTTAAGGACAAAAATAATTAAATTTTTTACTCCTTGGTTATATTGTGCTTCTGCATGCAGCATCACATAGCTCAGATAATATTTAAAGGACCGCTATAGTCACCCAGACCACTTCAGCTCTATTAAGTGGTCTGGGTGCCAGGTCCCCCAGGTTTTAACCCTTCAGATGTAAACATAGCAGTTTCAAAGAAACTGCTATGTTTACATTGCAGGGTTAATCCAGCCTTTAGTGGCTGTCTTCCTGACAGCCTCTAGAGGCGCTTCTGCGACGCTCAGTGCGAAAATCGCATTGAGCAAGCAGAACGTCCATAGGAAAGCATTGAGAAATGCTTTCCTATGGGTGTTTTTAATGCGCGTGTGGCTCTTGCTGCGCATGCGCATTCAGCTCCACTCGGAAACTGACATCGGAGGGGGAGAAGAGGTCACAAGCCCGGTGCTGGATAAAGGTAAGGGGTTTTAAGCCCTTTAGCCCAGCGGGAGGAGGCCCTGAGGGTGGGGGGACCCCAAGGATTATATAGTGTCAGGAAAACGAGTTTGTTTTCCTGACACTATAGTGATCCTTTAAATAGGATTATATGAGTAAATATTCTTTGAAAATGACTTTGAAGACACAAACTAGACACATACTTTCCAAGTGTCCCTATGTAGGAGGGGCAGTCTTTATTTTGGGCCCAATTCCCTCTGTTCCTCTTTTCTGTCCTAATGTTCCTCATTTCTAAGAGCTCCATATTGCTGGTGTGTCGCAATGTGTATCAACGCTCCACAGCAATAATACTCACAGTAATATGTCTTTAAACTTCAATAAATGTGTTTAGAAATCAGTCTGTGTAAATAACTTATTGTTCTTGTACTATGTTACATTTTAAATTGTCATCAATAAGACCCTGGCCACACACCACTCACCGCCTTAAAATCAAAGTGTCCATTTGCAATTGTGTGGGTGTAAAGATAGCAGACCATATATTTTCAATGCCATCCTTCGTGGAGTAGGTAAGATATTACTACATAAGCATGGCCAGTCCTATTGCTATTATTACTAGTTGTGCCTCTAAAGATATATTCTATTGTTACAATTGTCATCCTTATAAAAGCATTGCATTAGAATATCAGTCAACCAGTAAGAGAGCAGCATTACGTTGATTCTGTTTATTGTTCATTTACACTTTCTGGATAACACACCTCATCTGGAAGTGTTCAAGCAGATATTTCCATTTATATAACCCCCAATCTCTAGTACCCCTACAAACCAATTGTACTAATTCTCCAATATTGTCTGCAAAATAAAAGTTTCACAATTGTTTAGTTCATTTTTATTTCAAAGTCTTAGGGATTTATTTGAAAATCAGTGAATTTTGGTGACTAGAAATTTGGGTTTGTGTCTAAATTCCATTATAAGTACCCTAAATAAGCTAAATTCCAAATCTTAGTATTCGGGGCAACATCTTAGATATTTGTTTCTCTGTTAACCATTGTTTAATGTTTAGCAATAGACTCCCCAACTGTTACATTTGTTTCTAAAATCTATCTGTCTATGTTACTCTCTCAACGTTCTTCGAGTCTGATATTCATTAAGTTATTCAATGGCATGAATAAAATATTATATAGATGGCAGTTTTCCAAACTTGCGATAAAATATCCCTTGTATCAAATTTACATCTGACTGTATTTGAGCACTGCCAAAATATTTAAACTGTTATTGTACAGAAATATAAAAAAAAACCTTTAAGAACATTTTACATAATTCACTTTCTCTCAAAATTTTAAAGAAAGAAAAAAAGTTCTGAAAAAAAAGCTGGCAGTGAATTTGTCAGGAGTTTTGGTATTCTGTGACACCTTATAGCTGGCTTCTAAGATTTTCAACAATATAAATCAATAGGAAATAAAACAGTATATAAATTCATACCTGTATTATTAAGCATTATCAAACAAAACTCTTGAAAGGCCTTGAAAATAGACTCATAAAATAAAAAGCCTACTAATAATTTATCTAAAAGTCCTAAAAACTTTATTTTTTTATTTTTTGTTACTATGGACTTATACCTCAAAGGGACACTCAACTGCCTAAATATAAAATAAATAAAAATCACTGTTTAGTACATATACCCCAAATGAAAACTTGCATATGTTTAATTATGTATTTTTTCATTGGAGTTATATCTAAAAAAAGCTCGCAAAACCTGCAGTTTAAATGGGTTGCTTTTACAAGCCCTCCTCTTCTAACCCCACTCAGACTTTCTGTGACAGTCCAATCACAGACTTCCCAATGTAGCTCAATGAGACATTTTTGCAAGGCAGGTGCTCTGGGCAATTGTTGCCTCTTGAGTTCAGTGCAGATAAGCTAACCAAACTAGGAAGTAACAGTACCTGTTGTCTGTTTGAAAAGCCAGGTGGTGTAACCAGTATAATTTATAAAAGTGTTAATTTCTAGTGAAATCTTCACTTTTTCCAAAATTAAGAAAATAGCACACGCTCTTCCACATACAGCTCTTCAGCAAACTAAAGTGCCTTAGGGAGGATCCTGGAGTGTTCCTTTAAATTCAATGGAAATATATGCTGAACAAACATCATGGAAATCTATGTAAGACTTTCTTAGTTCTGCACTTTGATTGGATGGATTAAGCAGAGGTATAACCAGAAGTCAAAAGGGCAAATTACTTACTTTTATTTTTAAATTTGTTCCTAAAAATGGAAGTTGGAAAGCAATTTGTCAACTCACCAAAACTCAATGTTTTGAGACTACAAATCCTGCTGCATGCTAAATATTTTGCAATCAGGATCTGATCAGATATTACTGACAGGGCAGTTCTAAATTATTATGTAGACCAGGGGTCCTCAAACGGCAGCCCTCCAGATGTTGCAGAACTACAACTCCCATGATTCTTTGAATTACATAGATAGCCAGAGAATCATGGGAGTTGTAGTTCTGCAACATCTGGAGGGCCGGAGTTTGAGGACCCATGATGTAGACAGTGTAGGATCACATGCACATTACTGTCAAAGTGACATAATTCTTAGATCTACTAGGCTATACACACAACAGAATGTATCACTCAATACAACAACCTGGTGTCATCGTGGTGCAATTATCAATAAACAGTTGTAAGCTAGGGTGGGTTTCTACGTGTTTTTGCTGTATCTCAATGATGTGATCTGCAAGTGAAAGCAATGTTTTCAATGCAGGGTTTACATGCCTCTAGTAGCTGTCACTCAAACAGCCACTAGAGGTGCATTCTCAGAAATAGCAGAGTTAACCCTACTATTGACCATCTACTGTCAGATGGTCTCATTTTGCCGTGCATGTGCACTATTCTCCCAATGCTTTGGATTGCCTGAGACCACGGATCTAGATGATGTCAGCCAAGGAGTTGGGATGGCAGCACAGAGAGTGAAGCTTTCTCCATACAGGAGACTATAGTCGTATTTCTAACGCTATAGTGTTCATTGAATCCATATGATAATGTATCAAGTGTAGAAATACTAGTCAATTGAAAAGTTAAATTAAAGTATTATAGGAAGGAAACAATCTGGGATAGTTTTCACCTTAGCAGTAACAAGGTTACAAATTATTCTCTGTGCTCTTTGCTAGAAAGCACTAATTAAGGTTTATTTACTGAGGCGAGAATTCAAAGTTAATGCATAGTGCATTTCTAAATTAAAGCCAGAGTAGCTGAATGGAAAGCATAGCTGACTTAGAGAATATTTAACGTTTGTTACTTTGACCTTAAATTTGAAATTAATTTAGCATTTACCTTGAATGTTCACATTAGTGAATGACCCTGTGAGAATCACTAAACTGGCATTAGATCCCAGAACACTAAAGTTCTTTCTACTTATTCTACTATATTTGTCATCCACATAAAGCTCTATACATGCCCTATGCACACACTATATCACCTATACACCTATACACTATAGCACCTTTACACACACTCTCTCACTCTTTAGAGCCCCTTAACATGGACCCTACAGCTCCTAGCCACATACAGTACACAAACAACACAACTGAAACTGTGTCAGGGTACCTGTTGGTGCTGACTCCAGGGAAGACATCCTCTCTGTTTAGGGGCTCCTTGCCCCTAGCATTTCGGCAAATTCCGGCCGTTTTCGCGCCGGCCGCGCTAGCTCCTCCCCCTTTTATGATGCGTCCGGCTAGCGTCGACGTCATGACGTCAGCATTACGTGAAGTGCCGGGAACCGCTATTCCGGACCTTTTGGGGGCGTGGTCTCAATTAAGGTGACAGGTTATTTAAAGGAAACCTTTACTACTGCTCATTGCCCTGTCGTGGTTCTAGCTTGCTAGTCACTCAGCGCGTTCTCTCTCTTAGTGTTTTCGGTTTTGACCTTGCTTGTCTTTTGTCCTGTTGTCCTCTCCTCTCCTTTGACTCGGCTTGTATCTCGCTTACCTGTCCTCCGGCTCCCTCGACCTCGGCTTACCTTTTGACTATTCTTGTTTTGTCCATACGTTAGTCCGGCCATTCTAAGGTCCGGTATACGTACCTCCTTCTGTCCGCACTCTGCGTATTGGATCCCTGTCAGTATCCTGACAAACTGACATTTACACAAAACACCACACTATGAACTGTTCACTCTACATACTCAATCCCACAATTAGCCTCCAAATGTATTACTCGTTTCTGGCCCTTTTGTCCTCTGTTATACTATTTATGGAGACAAGAGAAGTCACAAGAGACATCACCAGAAGTGTGTCGTTAAACTCACTTACACTGTACAGAACAAACACACAGCCTTGTTCCTATATGAGATTGATAGATTTTAAAGATGGCTTCCTGGTAGAATACATTGCGGCAGATTAAATAAATAGGCAATTTACAAAAAAATAAAGCAAAATCTTCCTCAAGTCATAAAGTAACACCAAATGAACATTATACAAAACTAAAAAACATGGAATTCTGAAATGAATTACAATGCTCTGTGCACTGCAACATTTAATCTCCTTGAATTTATTATATACAGTGCCTGGAGTCCCCTGACACTACCCCTCCATTCAGTGTTAAACTATTTTCAAGCAGGTTCCACTGCCATTGCAGCTATAGCTAAGGCCAAGATTACTTTCTTCCTTAGCCATACCAATTCATACCAGCAATGGGTGGCTGTGATAGAATTAAAAGAGTCAGCTGACACTCTCAGCCAGTCATCTCCTCCCATTGCATCACAGGTGAATGCTTCCTCATTACAGAAGCAGCACAGAGGGGGTAGGCAGACAGGGACTATCGTTTAGGATGAAATCATTAAACATGGTTTAGCACCGAACAGAATGACAATCCCAGAGGACTACAGGCACCATAACCACTTCAATAAGATGAAGTGGCTAGAGTGTCCCTTTATTGATTGAAAAGCAGAATAACAAGCAATCTGGAGCCAGATCTTTGAGATTAAATGTTCTTAAATGTTTAATAAAACAATGTCAGTTATACATCAGAAAGACGGAGACCAAAGAATTAATAAAAAAAAAAAAAAAGTTTAACTGTCGGAGTGGAACGCCAGGGAAATGATGCAGGAGATATAAATATAACAATTTTATAGCTTCTTGTCAGAGCAGGTTGTAATACAGATCTTCTATCTTTAATTATATTATTTCAATACTCTTTATGCAGGTGGTGCTTCCTCTGAATGCTTTGTTCTACCTAACTTCAATGGATAGACTATTTTAAATTAATAGAAGTTGATCCGGGGATTAAATCGACTGCCTCTGGAGTCATTAATTAATAATCTTTCCCATGTTTTTCCCTTTGTTTCATCTCAATCAACATGAATAGCAATATCTGATGAATCTGATGAACTAACATATTTTAACAACCTTACTGTACAACTGTACATGTAATTACACATTTTGGGAACATAGTTTCAGATATTTGACGACAATATTCACATTCTGAGTTCACGACAGCGGCAGGACCTGTGCTCACTAGATCAATCTATAGAAGGGGCATCTCCATCTATGTCTACACAATGGTTTTATTGAGTGAGGCCACCCTAATGGTAAATGGTGGTGTGATACTTCCTAATTGTGATAATACTGTACTTGGCAACTTTGGAGAGCATGAGGCCAGGACAGGAGTGGGGTTGTATGGGCATGGCATAATAGTGTCATTTATTGTGCAAATATATGATGTACTGACAAGATCATCTCATTCTGTTTATAAATTTGTGCATTTCATGCTGTTGGAATTAGACTTGTGCACAGCAGAAAAAAAACAGTCTTTAGCGTCAATGTCAGTCTTTCAGTATGTAAAAAACACAGTGTCCTATCAGCTTCTCCTAACTGTGTCTGCAGACGTAGCAGGTCCCGCAAGACTCAGTCAGACAAGGCAAATCCACTAGTGGTGGTAGTAGTGATGTTGATGGTGGTGATATTGGGGTGGTGGTGGTAATGTTGATGAAATTGGGATGGTGGTGGTATTGGTCGTGTTGGTGGTAGTTATGACCGTGTGTAAGCTACTTGTGCCACTGGCAGCAGGCATTACAACTGTCTTCGAGGTGTTTCTACGGGAGATCCAGATTGACTAGGAGATTGCAGGAAGGTGAGGGCACTCTAGCTCCCGGAGAAAATACTGGGTTACTGCCTGTTTCTCTTTCACTTTTCTCTTCGAATTCCTCTGCTTCACCATACTCATAGTCTAGTAACTCCTGGGCCAAAGGTAAAAATGCTGGAGAAAGGTAAGTAAAATGCTTAATTTTATTATTTTATACAGCAAATGGTGGTGAGCCTGTATTTAAATAGGTACAGGGACACTAAAGTGCTTTATTAACACATGTTTTTATTTCTAACAGTGTTTGTTTTAGTGGCAGCGGCTAGCAGTAGGACACTGCACTAACCACCAATGTCACCCTAGGATGAACGAAGCAGGCTATCTCTACCACTCCATGTTTGTGTAAGTGACACTGTGGCAGTAGCTAGGCAATAGGAGCAATTATTTAGTTTTGCTTTTTACGAAACAACACTCTTACCTCCCCCAAAAATATATTTTTCTACAAACAGCTAACAAAAAAAAACTTTCAAGAATGGTCAATTGGTAACCCAGTCTCACATTATGATCAAAACACTATGGAAATTTCTTATCTGCCACTCAAAGTTGTTTTAAGTGCCACTGACAGTAGCTAGTTAGACACAGCAGCAAGTAAATATAGTCCTAAATTAGAATCAATGGCACAGGCTATCTCCCACTGCCACACTGCTGGTCTGTCTCCCTCAATAGCGGCAATCCAAGTTTCAGTAAGAATCCTGCTTCACAGTGTAGATTGTTTCACTGCTCCTCATTTTTTTCCTTCCATTGGTCAGTTAGTATTTGATCTGTGAATGAACACAACATTTACTGGCTGTTCCCGAACTATCAATCAACTTTTTTTCTACCTCATGGATGTAAAGGAGATACGACCCACATGATTGGACAGACCTCTTGTCCATCATTGCCAACTTAGCTGCTTATTTGCCAGCACGAAAAAAAAACCCCAACAAAACAACCTCTTCTACATTCCATCCCCCTTTTTTTCTGGTGGCATGAACAGCACTCTGAATTATGAATGAAAACGAGCATTGCATTAGCCGTTTGTTCCAAGATTCTGGTACATGACATTTCGAAATTGAAATTTTGGCCAATCACATGATTGGCCAGAATTTGCACAAATTACAGTTCGCACCAAAATAAAACTCCAAGTCTAGTAGCCATCACATTTGCCTTAAATGTCTGAGTATTTTTGTATTAAAGGGAAACTATAGTGCCAGGAAAAAAACTGTTGTTTTTCTGGCACTATAGCTTCCCCCTTTGTCAAGCCCTTTCCCCCCTTCCTCTCCTCCCTGGTCTAGTAAAAGGGGTTAAAATTCCTTCTGTCACTTACCAGGGTCCAGCTCCAATGTCCCTCGGCCTGGCTCAACTCCGCCCACCAGGGCCGGACTGGCCTACCGGGATTCCGGGAAATTTCCCGGTAGGCCGCCAGCCCTGGGGCCGCTTTGACATGTGGCTGCCCTCAGCCACAAGACCTGAAAAAAAAAATTCTGTTCGCCTATGCGGCCGGCGCAGCCACATCCGCGCCGCACTGGCCGCGGCTGCTTCCTGTGCGAGCGCACAGATACTTCCTGTTAGCCATCAACCGCCAGATGTGAGCGGCAAATGACGACATGACGTCACATCCGGCGGCTGCGCGGCGGCCGTACCTACTCCGATTAGATTGCGGCCTCTCTTCCCTCCTGCAACATTGAGCTGTTGGAAAGGTAAGAATAAAGGGGCTTGAGGGGATCTATTGTATTGGGGGAGGGTCAGTAATGTATTGGGGAGAGAAGGGGGGGCAGTAATGTATTGGGGAGGGTCAATGTATTAGGGGAGGGGGGGTCAGTAATGTATTGGGGGAGGGGGGGTCAGTAATGTATTGGGGAGGGGAGGGGTATGTGTGGGGAGGGTCAGCAGTGTATTAGGGGGAGGCGAGGCCAGTGTGTCTGTGTGTGACTGTCTGTGACTGTGTGACTGTGCATGTGTGTCTGTGTGTGTGTGACTGTGTGTCTGTTTGTGTGTGTGACTGCCTGTGTATGACTGTGTGTGTGTGACTGTGTGCGTGTGACTGTGTGTGTCTGTCTGCCTGTGTGTGTGAGTGACTGCCTGCGTGTGAGTGACTGTCTGCGTCTGACTGCCTGTGTGTGTGTGTCTGACTGCCTGTGTGTGTGTGACTGCCTGTGTGTGTGTGGCTGTCTGCCTGTGTATGTGGCTGTCTGCCTGTGTGTTTGACAGTCTGCCTGTGTGTGTGTGGCTGTCTGCCTGTCTTTGTATGTGTGGATGTTTTCCTCGTTGTCAGTGACTGTCTGCCTCTGTGTGTGTGTGTGTGTGCATGCACATCTGCTAGTGAGGGAGCCTCTGTGTGTCTGTACCTGCTAGTGAGTTTGTGTGTGTGCCTGCTAGTGAGTGAGCTTGTCTGTAGGGATAATATGTGTGTGTGTGTTAATGAGCTTGTCTGTAAGGAGCATGGGTGAGTCGGAGCCTGTCTGTGGTGAGTATGTGTGTACAGTGAGCTTGTCTGTAGTAAGCATGAGTGTGATCGTGAGCTTGTCTGTAGTGACCATATGTGTGTGTCAGTGAGCATGTCTGTAGTGAATCTGTGTGTTAATGAGCTCTTCTGTAGGGAGCATGTGTGTGTCAATGGGCTTGTCTGTAGGGAGAGTGTGTGCGCATCAGTGAGCGTGTCTGTAGTGAGCGTGTGTGTGACAGCTTGTCTGTAGTAAGCTTGTGTGTGTATCAGAGTTTGTCTGTACTAAATTTGTGTGTGTGCCAGTAACCTTGTCTGTGTGTGTCATTGAGATTGTCTGTCAATGAGCCTATTTGTGTGCATCAGTAAGATTGTCTGTGTGTGAGTATGCGTTACTATATAATTTAATTACCCTAAAAGAACTAATATTTTGAAGAAGAAGAAATGTATCAATAAAAAATAAATAAATTATATATATATATACATATATATATATATATACTGTTGCATCACCAGGGCTCCAGTATCCAGTATATATATATATAGGCAATTGAAATAGTTGGCTGCACGCTTGGATTTCCTTAAAATGTAACTTTTATTGAAATATTTGAGAAGATCAACGTTTCAGTCCCTCTTGTGGACTTGCATCAGGATCATGATGAAAGTCCACAAGAGGGACTGAAACAGTGATCTTCTCTTAAATATTTCAATAAAAATTACATTTTAAGGAAATCCGAGAGTGCAGCCAACTATTTCAATTTTATATATATATATATATATATATATATATATATATTCTACATAGCACAATGAATTATGGGGCTGGCATAGATTTTTTTCCAGGGCTGCTTCGTATCCCCAGTCCGGCCCTGCCGCCCACGCTCCTCCCCCCGCCAACGTCCGCCGGCAGGGGAGACCTAATGCGTATGCAAGGCAATGGCCGCGCTCGCATTAGGATCTCCCCATAGGAAAGCATTATTTAATGCTTTCCTATGGGGAGTCCGGTGACGCTGGAAGTCCTCTTGCATAGCGTTAGGATGTCCAGTGTCATTTAGACGACCAAAAGTCGTCTAAGAACCTGGAAGTCCCTCTTGTGGCTCCCTGGTAGACAGCAACTAGAGGAAGAGTTAACCCTAGCAGATAATTACTGCAGTTTATAAAAACTGCAATAATTACATGCTCAGAGTTAAGGGTGATGGGAGTTTGCACCCAGACTACTTCTGGATGCAAACTCCCATGAGCTGAAGTAGTCTGGGTGCCTACAGTGTCCCTTTAAGGCACATGTTTAAATTAATTGGTGACATCACAGAAAAGTGACATCACAAAAAAGCTAACACAAGTTATAGTTGATTTTTAATGTATTTTACATTAAGTAAATTACTGTGAAGTGACGATTTCCCTTTAACCTGTTAATGGTCACATGTAGGCAGTAAGGTTAATTTATTATAATGTCAGCTTAATCCAGAATTAACCAACTATGCCCATAATTAACAAACTATATTAAAGAAAACAATTGTTTCTACTCATGCCATGAATGTGAAATGGTGCAGATTTAACGGAATGGGGAACCAAACACTTGGAGACAAAGAAAGCATTCGGCACCAAAAGGGGAAATGTATGTGAGACAGCCATGTGAGCAAAGAGAATGCAGCAATATGTAGAGCAGAGGGCAGAGAAAATATCATAAACGGTTCTTATATGAATAAGCTACTCTTGAGAACTGAACCCATAAAATTAGCAATTTTTATCATACCATCTAAAAACAAACGGAGTATGATGCTACTTAGGTTTTAACAGACATCAAACTGGTTTGGGTGCAGTAGTGTCAGGATTTATTTACATCAGGAAAATCTTACTTTGTGTATGAGTGTTATTCCAGGAAGGTACAGATTTTTACTTACACTAGAAAATATATGTATTCATGGCAAAATGTTTATGGGACATACATTTTCAATCTTAAAGGGACCCTGTCGCTTCTTTCGAATTTACACCATTGAAAAAAACATTGAAAATCACCTATAGCTTGTGTTAACATTTTTTCAAGACAAGATAAAATCAAATTAATCCTTGCAGAGGAGAAACAGAAGCATTGTTTAATTTCATCTCTTCTCTGTATAATCCTATGATAGCTGTCAGATGCAAAGGGCAAATCTTATAATAATAATTGACGGGGGAGGGCCTGACTGTCATGCTGACTGGTCGCATGCGGGAGAGGCTTCTGCAAAATCTGTCCATTTCGGCTAAAAACTATGGCACACTGCTCTCATTTCAGCCTAGAAGTACAGCGAAGTGAGCAGGGAGCTGTTGGCACTACTGCAGACCCCAAGATCGGGAGTTTTGAGGACCCTGAGGGCTATATGAAACTTTGGATCCTGCGGCCTACATGGGAGAGGAGCAGAGTGGACGGCTGTCGCCCTGTTCATAAACCTAGCAGCCGCATGGAAGCCCTGTGACACTCCTCACAAGCCCTGTTCCCTGCCTCCATTGACCGGTGGGGGGTCCCCACTGGAGGGATCCAACACCATCAGGAACAGATCCTACTGACCTATCCTGCTTTCAGACACCCGCGCTTTCCAGACAAAATGGCTGCCTTACGGTCTGTACTGGAAAAGCTGACTACCAGCAGACAGAAACCACATCACTACTATGAGCTGGCTGATGCACCCACCCCTGGCCTGTCTTGCCACACCAGCAACCAGTAGAGGAATTGGGTGCCCGAGCCTTTGTGCCAGGCGATCGGGTCCGGTCCCCATTGCCGCCTTCCTGGGCATTGAGCCCTGCGAGGATGTTCCTCACATGCAGCCCAATGTCTGGGCGAATCACCCCAACCAGGATCTCTGTTGCTGGCCACTAGTGGAGCTGTTACCGTGGGCACAGAATGAGGGCTCAAACAGGGCCTAGGGCTGACAGAGTGGTACTCACCAGACTCTCCAACTTGCCGGAACCCTGGCATCGCTTCCTGCAAATGAGTCAGTGGCGGGAGTGTGCCGTAGCTTGCATACCGGAGGGGCTTGTAAACATGCCATTGACGGCAATCTCAAAGCACTATGCCCAGAGGACTGCGGGGCTTACCTACTGAGTCTCCAGTGGTTTTATTAATTGTATTATTTTCATTACTCATGCTTATGATATGCCTTCTTTAATTTTATACATCACCCTACTCTGTCATGATTAGAGGGCCCTCTCTGAGCTAATCTTTGCCCTTATATCTACACAGGAAAATACTAGCCCAGTTTGATTCATACAGACTTATTCTTTTGTACTCTACACATAGATAGCAATTAATTCCCAATGATGCTGCAGTGAAACAACCCTCTGGTCAACTACGCCTAGCATAATGTTTTTACTCATTTACTTTTCTTGTATTATTACCTGAAACATGAGCGCCTGAACAGTTAAAGTTTTAGTTTATTTTAATCCCAGGAGTAGTCCATAGTGATGTATATGCTAGACAGATACAGAATTAAGTCATGTCTACTCAATTGTTTTTTATTATTGACATAACTATCTGAATAGTCTACTATGCGTTTAATACTCTCTGACGTGTTTGTTAGGCTTGTTATACACTTAATTTACGGTACTCAGCTTACCTGCTAGAACACCATAACTATAAAATGTATGCAATTGCTCTGCATGCCATGTTATAATCTTATACTGCCTATTATTTCCTCGCTTGTCCTGCAGTTGTGGCGCAACAAGCGTGTATGTTACTATTTGCACAACAAAAGTAAAGAATTAAAACCAAAAAAACAAGAAAAAAACTATGATTGACAGGGGGCGAAGATGGAGGCACCCAGTTGCAGGATAAAGAGGTGTGAATTTCTACATTTAATTAGATTTTTCACTCTTCACAAATACATATTTGTTAAATATACACTGATTAGCCAGGACAATAAAACCACTTAGAGGTGAAGTGAATAACATTGAGCATATGGTTACAATGGCATATATTAGGCAGCAAGAAGGAAAAATGGGCAAGAGAAAAGGTCTATGTGACTTTGACAAGGGCCAAATAGTGATGGTTAGACAATTGGGTCAGAGCACCTCCAAAATGGCAAGTCTTGTGGGGTGTTCCTGGTATACAGTGGTTAGTACATACCAAAAGTGGTGCAAAAAAGGACATCCGATGAACCAGCGTAAGCGTTATGGGTGTCCAACATTCACTGATGCACTTAGGGAGCGAATGCAAGCCAATATGGTTCAATCACACAGAAGAGTTAATGTAGCTCAAATTGCAGAAAACGTAATGCTGCCATGATAGAAAGGTTAGAAAACACAGTGCATTGCCCATAATTACCCATGTCCATCACCAAAAGCGTCTATAATGGGGATGTGAGCATCAGAACTGGAACATGGAGCAACGAAGCATGCTTGCCTGATGGTCTGTTGAATCAAGTGTTCTTTTAGATCAGGTGGATTGACGGGTGTATGCGCGTCATTTACCTGGAGAGGCGATGGACGCTGGATTCCCTATGGTAAGAAGGCAGGCTGGCAGAGACAGTGTTATGCTCTGGGCAATGTTCTGCTGGGAAACCTTGGGTCCTGGCATCATGTGCGGGCGTGCGCACGGTGTGTGCCGGGTGTGCCTGGGCACACCCTAATCCCCGCGGCACGCCTATGTATTGAGACCGGCAGGGGAGATCTCAGGCTCAGCCTCCCTCCCCACCGGCCCACAGGCAAGGAGGGTGGCAGGAGAGGACCCGGGGAGCTCTTGCCAGCAGCTCGGCCGGGTTCCTCTCGCGAAATCTGAGCATTGCCGCTGTTACCGCGGCAACACTCAGATCTCGCGAGAGTGAACTCTAGCCCCGCAGGCTAGAGTTCACTCTCTCTACTAGGACCACCAGGGAAGGCAGAAAGGATCCCCCCTCCCTGGCAATCTGCCCCCACCTCCACTGGACCACCAGGGAAGGCAGCAGCACGGTCCCCCCTCCCTACATAAGGTAGGAAGGGAGGGAGGATCTTTAATCTGCCCCCACCTCCACCCCCACATCACCCAAACAGCACACACACACACACACACACACACACACACACACATACAGCACACACACACACACACACACACACACACACACACACACACACACAGCACACACATACAGCACACACAGCACACACATACAGCACACATACAGCACACACACACACATAAAGCATACATACACACACACACAGCACACACACACATACAGCACACAAACATACAGCACACACACACATACAGCACACACACATACAGCACACAAACAGCACACACACACATGCACACACACACACATGCAGCACACAAACAGCACACATACACAGCACCCACACACATACAGAACACACACACAGCACCCACACACATACAGCAAAGAAACATCACATCACCCACACACATACACAACACAAACAGAACACACATCACCCACACACACACAGCACTCACACACACAGCACCCACACACACACATCCGGCACCCACACACATCCGGTACCCACACACATACAGCACCCACACACATACAGCACACAAACACATACAGCACCCTCACACACACACAGCACACTAACAGTACCCTCACAAACAGCAACCTTACACAGCACACTAACAGGACCCTAACAAACACACAGCACACTACCAGTACCCTCACACACAAACAGCACCTTCACACACAGTACAGTAACAGCACCCTCACAAGCGCACACACACACAAACACCCACATAGCACACTACCAGCACCCTCAAACAGCACACACACACACAGCAGTGTGTATATATATATATATATATATATATATATATACACATACATACATATACGCGGCGTGTGCTTGTGCTTTAGGGTGCACACCCTAATGCAATAGGCTGTGCACGCCTATGATGTTATCATGTACATGTACGATGCACTATGGTTGGATGGTGGTGTACATCCTGCACGGATAATATATGGAAAAGAGGGGAGGGCTCCTTTTCATGTGTGTTGAATTCCGGTGTAATTAAGAAGGGTATATAAACTTGGAACAGTTTATTCAGACACAGGGACGTATTAGCCGCGAGGCAAACAAGGCATTTGCCTTGGGCGGCATTTTTCAGGGGGCGGCAAAAAACGCCGCCCCCCAAATGCCCAGGGCAGATGCCTTGTTAGCCTTGCGGCTAACTGACATCCCGGGCGGCCGGCGAGGGAGCACTTCCCATGAGCTGACTGCTCAGCTCCCTCGCGCACCGCAAAGTGAGGCTGGGAGCCGGAAGATGACGTCATCTTCCGGTTCCCAGCCTCACTCTGCAGCCGACGCGCGAGGGAGCTGAGCAGTCAGCTCATGGGAAGTGCTCCCTCGCCGGCCGCCCGCCCGCCCTGCAGCCACTGGACCACCAGGGAGAGAGACCCCCCCAGCACTCCCAAAGGTAAGGAGGTTGGGGGGGGATTTAAATTAAAAAAAAAAGTTAATGTGTGTGTGTGTTTGTGTCTGACTGTGTGTGTTTGTGTGTTTGTGTCTGTGTCTGACTGTGTGTGTGTTTGTGTCTGACTGTGTGTGTTTGTGTCTGTGTTTGTGTCTGTGTATGTGTCTGACTGTGTGTATTATTGTCATATGTGACTGTGAAAATGTGTCTGTGTGTGTATTTGTGTCTGTAACCAATATGTGTCTAACTTTATGTGTGTAATATGTATATTTGTGTGTGTGTGTATATGACTTTGTGTGTCTCTGTAATATGTTGTATCTATCTGACTTAATGTGTCTGACTATTCAATGTGTGTTGTTTTTGCTCACAGGCATGTCGTATTGACCAGCTATGTAATAATGTGTATAAACTATCTGTATGTATCCCAACTGTGTGTGTTTGTATATGTGTCTGACTGTGTGTGTGTGTGTATGTGTCTGACTGTGTGTGTGTGTGTATGTGTCTGACTGTGTGTGTGTGTATTTAGAAGGTGGGGCGGGGGGAAGGGTTGGGTGGGGGTGGCGCGGGGGGGAGGGGGGCGCCTGAGTTTTGTCCTGCCTAGGGCAGCACAAAACCAGGATACACCACTGTTCAGACATAAACTACACCTGAGGAAGACCTGTAAATAGGTCGAAACACATTGTGTTTAAAAAGGACGTTTGGCTAAAAACATTGTACTTCTATTTACCTGCCAGATCTTCAATTTGAAAATACCATCACCAGTCCACAAGCTGTTTTACCTGAGCCAGTTCATACAGGCTCAAAAAAAATCCACTTGTGGAACCAAACCTAATTAGGGTATAAGCACCTTTATTATATCACATGTATATTTTGCACTTGCACTTTTGTAAGATTGCATGTAAAGTGTGCCCCCCACTGTTTTGTGTTTTTCTTTGTATTTATACTGATTTGGTGGAATTGGGTGATTAATTCCCCTAGAGGGATTGGCGGCACCTCATTAGCGCCATTGGAGGTTGCACATTCTTTTTCTATACATGTACCACCTACCTCGAGATTGCAGACCATGTAACCCCCCCTTCATGGCAATGACGGTCCCTGATGACAGTGGCCTCTTTCATCAGGATAATGCCACACTGCAAAAATTATTCAGGAATGGTTTGGGAAACATGACAAAGAGTTCAAGGTGTTGCCTTGGCCTCCAAAATTCCCCAGATCTCAATCTGATTGAACATCTGTGGGATGTGCTGGAACAACAAATTCGAAACATGGACTCCCCATGTTGCAACTTGCAGGACTTAAAAGACCTGCTGCTAATGTCTTGGTGGCAGATACCACAGGGCATGCTCAGAGGTCTTGTAGAGCTCATGCCTCAACACATCAGAATGTGTTTTAGCAGCACAAGGGGGACCTACATGATATTAGGCAAGTGCTTTTAATGTTGTGGCTGATCAGTGTATCATAATTAAACATAATATTCCCCTTTAATGCATCCATATACACAACAATCTGCATTATAATCAGCTGTTTTATTAAAGGAACACTATAGTCACCTAAATTACTTTAGCTAAATAAAGCAGTTTTAGTGTATAGATCATTCCCCTGCAATTCCACTGCGCAATCCACTGTCATTTAGGAGTTAAATCACTTTGTTTCTGTTTATGCAGCCCTAGCCACACCTCCCCTGGCTATGATTGACAGAGTCTGCATGGGAAAAAAACTGGTTTCACTTTCAAACAGATGTAATTTACCTTAAATATTTGTATCTCAATCTCTAAATTGAACTTTAATCACATACAGGAGGCTCTTGCATGGTCCAGCAAGCTATTAACATAGCAGGGGATAAGAAAATCTTAATTGAACAGAACTTGCAATAAAGAAAGCCTAAATAGGGCTCTCTTTACAGGAAGTGTTTATGGAAGGCTGTGCAAGTCACATGCAGGGAGGTGTGACTAGGGTTCATAAACAAAGGGATTTAACTCCTAAATGGCAGAGGATTGAGCAGTGAGGCTGCAGGGGCATGTTCTATACACCAAAACTGTTTCATTAAGCTAAAGTTGTTCAGGTGACTATAGTGTCCCTTTAACAAATTGTAAAGTATAAGTCACTACTGCAGAGATGGTGATTTTGCACGTTCATTATTTCTGTAAAGGCCTGTTTGGCTGTCTCTTTACAATATAGACTCCCTAATCTTAGTGAGCGCCTGGACATACACATCCCAACCTGCCAGAGATTAGAGGGATTTCCTCTCCCAGATAGCAGCTGTAGCCATTTCAGCTGAATTAATGGTGGCAGCAGTAAAAGCAGCAGCCACCTTAGAGCAAAACTCCCACTGATATACTGTATTGTATTTACTGATTGTAGCCATAATTGTAAAGGAACACAATAGTGTTTGGAATACAAATATATATATATATATAAAATGCTTTAGTGCTGGAATAGATATTTTGCTCCCTGCCTCCCTCAGATTGGAGATAAAGGGTATTTACTTGCTTTTCTCCATTGTGCCGCAGCTGGCCCAGCCTCTATTACAGAGATCATGAACCTTGATGATCTCAGCAAATTCACTGCTTTCCCACTTTAGAATAAATCAGAAGTCACTTTAGAGCAAATTAGGGCAACAATTATTGGGTTAGAGCATCACTTGAACTCTGTCAGCAATAATTGCGGTCCTGCATTGGTCCTGCTTTGTTCTAAAGTGACATCAAGTTTAGAGAAGAATGGATAGAACAGATATGGCACAGAAGTGCAGTGGAACATGGGTAAGTAGTCAAACCATGCTAAAAATGGCATTTCTTGAACCACAACCATTAAAGCAGGCTGTACTAGTTATGGTGCTTGGAGTGACTCTTTAATGCAACTCTTTTGCTTGCTTTTCTCTGTTGCCATCAGCTCATATTCTGGTAAATCAGGACTAAATTTATGATAACAGCTATAAATAGCTGCTGTCTGGAGTGTAACTCCTACTATTCTTGGGCAGGCTGGGACATGTCTGTCCTGGGTTCATCTTAAGAGTAGAGGCTCCGCAAAGCACAGTGTCATTGATACCACGCGTTTTGTTTTATAATGCCTCATGAATTCACTATACAGCATAGGACTTAAAAACATCTCCTGCTCTTTGAAAAAAGTTTGATTCTTACAAGGTGTGAAAGTATATCAGCCAGATATTCTATAGTGGATGTTTAATATCAATAGAGTAACCTTTGCTATAATCAAATTATTCCGACACATTTTTAGTCATGTAGTTACAGTTCTTTCCTTATAACCTTTGAATTGAAAGTTTTGGATGCGAAGATTATCACTGGCTGGATTATGTAGAACAGCATTTAGCAATTAATCCGGCTGCGCTCAACTGGTGATATTTTAAAGTATTTGGCCAGTTTGTAGACACAGAGGACCAAAGATTAGAACTTTTGTTATGAAAAAGAAGGGGAAAAAAATGAACTCTATTTACGCCAGTGTCCTTTTAAAGTCAAAACAGCCAATTTAGTAGCTTAAAGAATCTCCTCCAGTGACTCAGTACTGAATGATCTGAATGGTTTAGTGCTGGAATTTAGATAGAGAAACTGCTTTAAATATCATTAGATAATGACTCATTGGGAGGAATTCATCAAGCAAACAAGCTCTCCTGTTCCTGTATACATCCTCATTCTTGATATAATTCAGTTTCCTTTTTTTCTGCTGTACTATATATCAAATTTGAGTTTTCTTTATAACATTGCCTTCCTCCCACGCTTGTCTCAAATTTAAGCCTTTGTCTCTTTTTCTGAAATATCAATTCCATCAGTCATTAGATTTACTAATAATAAAGCTCCTTATACAATAACAATACATTAAAGGGGAATTATTCTACAAATTGCTTCCATCCTCATTCAAACCAACCAAAAATATGTTTCTAGTAAAGTACAGTGTTGCTTTTTAGATTTTAACTTTTTAAGCACGTTCAACCACAACTAATTATTTTGTTTCCTGCTATGGTTCGTGATTTTTGGAGCTCAAGACGAACCCGTTTGCACTTAACACTGTCCACAGTTCCTTCTCATGAAAAGCAGTGATGTAAATGTTTTGGGGATACCTCTGGAAACATCCCCAAACCATAATAACAGTATCAGTTCATGTGATTCCGAAGGCTTATATTATTATTATTATTATTATTATTATTATTGCCATTTATATAGCGCCAACAGATTCCGTAGCGCTTTACAATATTATGAGAGGGGGAATTTAACTATAAATAGGATAATTACAAGAAAACTTACAGGAACGATAGGTTGAAGAGGACCCTGCTCAAACGAGCTTACAGTCTATAGGAGGTGGGGTATAAGACACATTAGGACAGGAAATATCAAATAGGGTGGGAGTGAAGCAGAGCTGGAGGAGGGGGTACAGTGCTGCCCTATAGGAGAGAGCAAGAGACAGGTATGTAAGGTAGAGGTTACTCTGGGAGGCCATAAGCTTTCCAGAAGAGATGGGTTTTAAGGCACTTCTTAAATGATTGAAGACTAGGGGAGATTCTGATGGTGGTAGGCAGGCTATTCCATAGGAAAGGAGCCACCCGTGAGAGGTCCTGCAAGCGCGAATTGGCTGTATGGGTGCAAGCAGCGGTCAGGAGGTGGTCTCGGGCAGAGCAGAGGGAACGAGGAGGGGCATACCTATGGATCATTGAGGAGATATAAGAGGGGCTAGAATTGTTCAGTGCTTTAAATGTATGGGTTAGTACTTTGAATTGACTCCTATAGGATACAGGGAGCCAATGTAAGGACTGGCAGAGGGGTGATGTGTGAGAGGACCGACTAGAGAGGAAAATCAGTCTAGCTGCAGCATTCATTACAGACTGTAGCGGGGCAATACGGCTTTTGGGGAGACCAATCAGGAGAGGGTTACAGTAATCCATGTGGGAAATTACTAGAGCATGGACAAGCTCTGCCAGATGCCTTCTGCCAGATTAGAGAGTTACAGATAGAGCATGGCCATTTTGTCCCACTTTTTTGTTTGTTTAAACATGTTTTGATAGTTTATGATATATTTTAATTTGTAAGTCACCATGTTAAATGTTTAAAATTTATATTTATATGATTATTTAGAAGATTACTTTACATATTTTATTGAACTTAAATTAAAGGATTGTCCAACCGAAAACAGTGTTTTAATACTTTGTCTTTGTTTAGAGTAATCCTTTCTGGCATGCACTCCCTGTTTAAAAGAAAAAATAATGTAGAAATCTTTTTTTTTTTTTTAAACTTTCCTGTAATCCCATGCTGAGGCCAAGTTTTCCTGACATTCTAATTCTCATCAGATTACATCACTCCCTATTACTGCAAGGGGAGGGATATCAGAGAGAAAGGGCTGACTTGGACAGCATGGAGAGGTGGATAGAGCCACCATAGGTCATCTGTTAATATCTTGTTATGCATGCTGACGACAGACGCTAAATATGCACAGATTTAACATTAGGCAGAAATCACATTGCAAGCTGGCAAATGACACTGCCAGAGGTGGAGTTACCGCCCTGGCAGCAAAGGACTTTAACTTTCCATATGCAGTGTTCCAAACGGAAACTCTGAGCATAAAGACCGTAAGCACTAAGACCACTTTGAATTACTGAAGAGGTCATGGTGTTTAAAGTAACCATTTAAAAAAAAAAAAATGCTGATAAAATGGATAATGCCAAAGTATTTTAGACAGAATTAATGGAATAAAAGCAGCACATGTTTTAAATCTAGATATTACACAAATCAGAAATAAAACACGTTTTTATAAATAAAACATTACAATTTGAAAAAAAAAAAAAGATTGAAAGATTTGCTAATATTGCTTGAAAGATTTGCTTATATTTTAGGAGTTTAGGAAAAAATTAATAAAATCAATAAAGTCTTGATGTTACTCAAGAGTAACTGTGTTTCTGAGTGCTGACAATTATAAAGTAAATATAGTAAGCAGAGTGACTAATGAAAACTCACACATCAATATTATGCATTATAGTGCTGGAATATCAAACCAAGTCCTGCATTTTCTTCTCTAAAGTGTGAATTCTTAGTAAATTAAAAATGAATTTAAAATTTAAGGCAAGAGTAGCCGAATAGAAAGCATAGCTGATTTAGAGAATTTTCCAGTTAGGCTATTTTGACCTTAAAGGTACACTATAGTCCCCAGAACAACCACAGCTTAATGTTTTTGTTCTGGTGAGTATAATCATTTAGAGAAACGACAGTGTTTACATTACAGCCTAGGTACACCTCTAGTGGCCACTCCTCAGACGTCCACTAGAGGTACTTCCTGGGGCAGTGTTGCACAGTGCTCTGCATGGAGACACTGAACTTGCACCATGGAGATGCATTGATTCAATGTCAGCCAAGGAGGCAGATCCATGATGGGGCCAGACACGAGGAGAGTTTTAACCCTTTTACTTTTCTGAGAGGGGGCTGAGGTGCTAGAAATTGAAATTAGAACTATAGTGTCTAGAATACATGTGTGTGTCCCTGACACCATAGTGCCCCTTTAACTTTGAAATTCGGTTTGAATTCTCACTTTTGTGAATACACCTGTTAGTGAATCACATAACAGTTTTTACTCTTGAGCTGATAATAATATTAATGCTGCTTCTGTCTTACTCTTTTTCAACTGGCCGAGAAACCAATTTTTACATCAGGACTATATTCGGCTCCTCTTTATAAAGAAAAGGGGACAACAAATGCCTTACCTTCTCTGCCTTCTACGATTTGCAGTAGCCTTTAATCTAAAAAGTACAGTGCTGCATTCCAGATAAATGTGCCATTTATTGAGTATACCCCTTACTTTAACTGTGCTAGGAAGTGCAGGTTGAATGGCTGACACTACAAATTATAGTTCCCAACAATTGTGGAAGTGGTATATTGCATGTTTCTATATTTTATTGTTTATCTTTAGAAACCACACTTCTACAGACACAAGTTCATGGTACTAACATTTTCAGAAATTGTGTTATAAAATACCATGATCATATTTGATGGAATTGTGATTAATTCCTTCTCACAGGCTCCTTCTGTTAACCATTTCACTACCAAGTTATTTTTGTTAAAAAATAAATAGCACAGCGTTTATTTGAAAATGGAATGCTAAAACACAGGATACGACAAATTATTTACAAAGTGCTGTTCAATGGTATGTAAAAATGAAATCAAACAATGTTAAATTTAATTTATTTGTTCATTATTTACATGTTTTATATGATTGCATAGTATGCCTTATATTGCCAAATATTACATAAGGTATGAGAAATATATATTTTTTATTCTCATTTCATAAATAATGAATAACATGTAATACTTACCCCGGTTATAAAGTACAAATAGGAAGTTCTGGTGCTTAATAATATATACACAGAGGGGCTAAACCTAGCAGATTAGATAAAATAATCCACTTTGAAATGTATAGTAAAACCAAAAGATCCAGAATATACTACAAATATAGTATCCTGGCAATGTATACTTGTAAGGAGACTGATTGTATATCTGGGAATAATGCTTCCTAAAAATTGTACCAGGAGGTAAAAATAGTCTCTGCACAATAGTCGCATAAGTAAGTACAGTAACAAAGATTTTCTGTACTATACAAGGTATGCCAAACTTCTATTGCAGGCTGCAAACAATCCCCCTGAATGCCAAGATGAAGCAATGAAAAAGTTGTTCTGTAGCGTTGGAGGAGGGAGTGGGTCACAATTTACAAAGCCTTTGCAGAGATGCAAAAATAGAGAATGGAGCCTTTGGTTTCTCTGCAGGCTTAAAAGCAGTGGAGAATCAAAAATGGATGGTAAGTTTGGCTGCGAGTGCCTATATGGAGCGGGGTATGACTTTACATAATATTTCCACCCACTACACACAGTACGTGACCCCTGACCGAGTCCTGAACAAAATCATTCCTTGGACTCTGACTCCCATACCACTTGGCAATTTTTCTGGAGCCAAGGTAGGTAAGAGGAGACTCATAAACGGAAAGGAAATGAAAGGATAAATACTGGGGGGGAATTATTTGAGCATTGTGTAGTGTGCATGGGTGATATGATTATTAAGAAGTGTGCAAAGGGATGTGGGTATTGTAAAAATTTAGAAGGAGGTATGTGTATTGGGATGTGTGGGAAGGGGTTATACGGATTGTGAAATATAGGAAGGGGGGGAATATGGGTATTGAAACATTTGCAAAGGGGGATTGTAAAGTATGGGAAAGTGGATATGGACATTGAAGGATGTGGATATGGGAATTGTAAAGTGTGGTAGCAGAGTGTATGTGAAGGGGGAATAAGAGCACAGTGATACATGTGGGGGAGAAGGCTATTGTAGTGGGTCCCTCCCATAATGGGGCACTGGATTCAGCCGGGTCACATGCATGACCCTGGGCTCTGGGAAAGGGCCCAAATCTGTCATCCTGTCTAGGGTCCTGGGCAACCTTAATTTGTCTCTGGTTTGGCTTCATGGGCTCAATATAATTTTGCATAACTATACAATGCAAAATGAAAGTTAGTATGTATATACACATTGGTGGGATGGAAGGAGTTAACTCTTATATAGACAGGAGTTATATGGAATGTTAATGATAAACATTAACATTCTTACAGTTTAATTGCAAACATATATTAAAGGATACAATAGCATAATTATTTTTTACTAAACATATCTCTCAAAGAAGAAATTAATACTTTTATGTTTTCATATCGCTTTCAGATTATTGATCCTATTATTCTACCAATGTCTGCTTAATCGTCATTATTAAGTGATTATAATATAATTTTTTACAACTAGGATCCTCACAGGTAATCCTCGGAAACCACCAACTGGAAGGGTTATAATTATTATCATCCTATATATAGTGCCAGCAGAATTTCAGCACTTTACAGCTTTATAAAGCAGCACATTAAAGGCAAACTATTACAAATGATAACAGAGACAATAATTTAATGACGGCCTGTTCATATGAGCTTACATTCTAGAGGTTTTCAGGATTATCCCAATTATTCGCTCATCACTTCCTAGGATATTTAATATTTTGTTTACGTATCCTTATATTTAACATATGTATTTTTGAGTTATGAAAAATAAAAATAAATGTAGAAATCCCCACCACTTTGTCCTGCCACTGGAAGCCGCCATCTTAGCTCCCTGACAGTCATTGTTATAAGCTCTGTTTTTTGTACCTGGCAGTCAGCATGGAGAATGCATACAAAGGAGATGAGAAATTAAACTATATTTCTGTTTTCGCCCTCTTCATTTGTCCTGGCTTTGCCTTGTCTGAGATGGATTATGGTGTCATTTTACTAAATCTTTAACATACATTTCAAAGAAACCAGAGCATTTTATGAAAAAAGGTTGATACAAATTATAGCTGAATTTTTGTTTTTTTCCCCAGTGCTTAATGCTATAAATTTCAGACAAGTGGCAACCAACATTCATAGATAAATAATTCCATGACTCAACTCAACTTGCTGCATGATCATTGATTTGACGGAATAAAAAAAACCCATAGAGCAGTGTGATCTTAGAATTATTTATCTGTGATTGCTCAGAACCTGGAGTTAGAGATCCCACCTTTCTGAACACTCCATGTGTAAAGTCCCTCTGCTAATTCATTTTGGTTTATATGTCCCAGATCTAAACAGCAATATCATTGTTTGACACATATTGTACCACTTTTAAAAAAGCTAACCAGTGCACCAACATGAACAAATAAAATGTGTAGGCATCAATGAGTTGTAGAGCCCAGAGCACAATAATACTGACAGGCTAGTTCAACTTTGGCTTCAGCTAAAGCTCCCTTGGGTGTCCTTTAGATCACTACATACCACAAGCAGTCTAGGATTTAGGGATTACCAGTAAAGATAAATCCAAGCTTGACAGTGCTCCTTCATATCTGATTTGAGTAGAATGGGGGGCAATTGGTCTATGTTGAAATATTTTTTTAAATACTGGTCTGGGCTCTGTTCAGTTTTTCTGAAATTTCTTGATAATTCTCCATGTGAAAGTTTAGATAGAAATAAAAGTGTTTAGCAGAGTTAATAGATATCAGCTTATTGTGAGATGGCATTATCTGATAATCCTCTTTGTTTTCACAACAATGATCCCACTAGTTTAATAGAAACATAGAGTTAAACTGAGCTCTTCTTACAGCACTGCAAATACTGCCTTTACTGCCTCACTAATAAAATGAGTTTTAAAGTATGGCTTCAGTTATAGGCGTTTATTCACTAACTAAAAAACTGACAAGGGAATTAGAAAAATTAGTTTAAAATTAGCAAACTAGATCAAGTAGCCGAGTTGGTGTAAATCTACAGTCCCATTCTGGGATCAATTCTCTTGAATTCTTGAAATAGCAAAACAAATAAGTAAAAACAGATCGTAGCTTTATTTTAAAATAGAAACTAATTTTTATAATAATTTTTTTTTAAATGTATTATTTGCATGCAGATAGTATTTAAATGCATCATACACAGAGTTATTCACTAAACTAACACTTGTTGGAAATTCAAAGTGAATTAAAAGTTCATTCCAAATTTAAGGCAAACATAGCCATATTGGAGATGTTGTCTAAGTCAGTAATGCTTTTAGTTTGGCTACTTTGGCCTTAAATTTTGAATTCACTTTGAATTCATGACAATTCTCACTTTTGTGAATAACCCTGACAGTAGCAATCTTCACGTTATTAGGTCCCTCACTACAGTTCATATAATAAGCTTAAAGCAATTCTCAACACCACGATAATTATATGGTTTAAAATAGCCAGAGACGTAGCACCCAAAAGATAAAAGCTCCTTTTGAGTCATGGTAATCCCTTTAGTTGACCTGACATCATAAGCAGTTGGGTAACGTGACAGAATTAGGTAATGCCTAAAACATAGTATGCTAGTGTGCCTTGAAGAATGAGTTTGGAACCACTGCCATAATGGATGGATTTGTACACCTATAGAATTGTTCTGCAAAAGTTATAAAAACACAACTATTTACATAGCACATCAAGTGGTTAGAACTCTTGGATCATAAGAGCATCTGATTGAATCAACTTTTAAATAGAATAAAACACAACAGATACTTCAGTTGGTGCATTATCCAATGAACTCTCAACAACTATCATTTTGCATTGAAATGTACACATTGTGAATTTAGTGATTTAGTAATTAAAGCATAACTTTCTGTTATATTTTTATCTTTTAATAATGACAATTATGCAAGCATTCATCAACCCCAGATACAGAACACATTGGAATTAAATTCATTAGTTAGAACAATGCAGAAATGTAATGACAACAGTCTCACTATGCTCACATAGAATTGTATAACTGACCAAAATTACTTTATAATGCATTCTGCATTGATTAACTCAACCTCTCCACTGGTACAGACAATTCCACTCATCCAGTATTAATGACAAAAGTCATTAAAGACACCACTCACAAACCCACTCATAATACATTCATCATGTCTTTTATTTTGTAAAATTTGGCTTATTAAAAAGTCTTTTATGGCCACATATTTTGCAAGATAAAAGTTAGAATTATTGTCCTGGTATAACATTAGATATATACACAGCATAATTTAATCGATAGTCTGAAGTTTGGCTAAAAATGGGACATTCACTTAGAAAAGTAATAGTTAACCTCACATCCACCTTTTTTTTATGAACCACTTTTACAAAGATGCTCAACGGCCTTAAGACTGGCTGAGGATTATGGGCAATGTAGGACAGAAATATCTGCTGTGCAAGTTTACAGAAGCTCATGACAATTGATTATGTATTAAATAGTGATGAGCTGGCAAGACAGATGCTCAAATTATGTAAAGTGTCAGAATTGAAAAATGTTCTTAACTCCGCTATTATTCCAGCGAGTCTATCTTAGTATAACGTTTGCGATCCTTTAAGGGTGTTTAAGGGTCCTTTAAAAGTCTATTCACTAAATAGTGAAATAGAGGTGTGACGTGTTGGCAAGCAACCTGAAAAATTTAAAGTTGGGAAAATATCTCCAATATAATGACATCTGGCATTTCTCGTGAAAATGTGAATTGTGCGTAACTAACAAAAGGCCAAAGGCAATTTCAGGCCAAAATATCAAGACCTGGAAAAGGAGCTGAATTAAAATTTGCAAATCCCCTGTGAATTTTCTACAATTCCTGGTTTCGTGAAGAGGCATCACTGGAAATGTTGCCAACTGAACATTTACATTCACTCGCTCTAGAAAGAATAGACACACAGAGCTGCGTCTACGTAAATCGCTGTTAAATTCATCACAACATCATTAAAATAAACACTGGTCAGATTATATATTAAACGGAGCTGTAAGCAGTCATTTTATTTTCTATAAACCTGCGCTGTTAACGATAATAACAATATTTAACCCTTTGAATGCCAGGCGTGTGCCCAAGGCATGTAAAAAAATCTGCGCAATTCTGACATTCAAAGAGTGACTAGCAACAGGGCTATTTACTAAAAGTGAGAATTACTGAGAATTCAAAGTGAATTTCAAATTTTAGGCTGAAATAGCCGATCTAAGCTATGCTTACAGTATAGCTATTTTGTCCTTACATTTGAATTCCAGACAATTCTCATTATAGTGAATAACACCTTGAAGATTTTCTTTAGACACATAAACACGGTGCTACAATATTTTAAAAGTAGAAATGACACGTGCATGTTTACAAAAAATAGGCACTTCAAATGCTTTCTTAGTTTTAAAATGGTGCTATTATGTCCTGACAGAGTTCTGAAAGAGTCTGACCTTACACCAGTGGAGAAGTGGAGATGTTTAACAGATTATCTTTAATACTTGTTGAACATCTTCCACAGTCACTGCATGCCTGTGATTCTGCTTCTTTTAACCCCTTATTGCTGTTACACGAGTATAAGAAAAGAACAATCACTAGGTTGAGGCAAGAGATACATCCACTCTAAAATTCTAATAAATGTATACACTCACATATACACACACACACACACGCACACATACACATGTACACACACACACACACAAACACACACACACACATATATATATATATACTTATATATACACACACACACACACACACACACAAACACACATACACATATACATATATATACACACACACACACACACACACACATATATATATATATATATACACACACACACACACACACACATATATACACACACACACACACACACACACACACACAAATTCAGATTCTAATAGAACAAAATTTGTTAATGTGCACATTTTTGTTTTTACAATGTAGCAAGGTATAGTAGTGAAAACCTAACTTGTGAATTACTGGAATAATTAACTTGTAATATTTTGTCCTGGCTTACATTCTGTTTTCTTTCGAGCAAATCTTTCAAGTGTGTTTTTTGAAGAACACATATCTGCGGTCTAACCTTTCCTCTGCTTAAAGAAAAACATTCTAGTACATGAAGGTGTTTTACTCAGTGTACTTTCTATTTCCACCCTTTCACTGCCAACAAGGTAAATGACAGGGTTAAGCCCGAAATATTAGGAAAAAACAAATACCCTATCAAATTCTTGAAAAAAACCAAACTACTTATCACCCTATTCTAGAGCAAGAAATAGTTATTAAACAACTGAAACCTGCAGAAATGTATTGACTAAGCACCGACTTGTGGAGTATTGATAACTGGACTGCGAAATTAGGCCGAAAATTGCTCAGCTCTCCAAATCAGCTATACTCACAATTTGGCTATTTTAATCTACATTTTCTTGTTTGTTTTTAACTTCACTATAATTTTGTGTTTAGTGAATAATCCCTGCACTAACGTGTACAGTATGGCATTTCAAGGTATTGCGTTATCGGATTACAATGCATATGATTGGGTCTTGTGCTTTGACATCTTGCTAAATGAGTGGAACATAGGGGTTAATTCACTAACTGCTGAAAAAAAGATTTGGAACATTTCACAAACTCAGCTTTAGTAACAGTTTTGCTATCATTTTGTCTCAAAGATTGTAAGTCAGTTTTCAATCATTACAATTCGGTGTTTAGTGAATAAACCTCCCACATTCTGGGTTCAGAGGGATCATATTACTGAATTGAGGATGTAGATAGTGTGCCATTAATATGTGTTTACGTTGAGTAGCTGTGTGTGTATTTGAAATGTAATATTCTGTAATCAATAATATAAATGCTGTCCTCTTTGTTTAATCAAGCGTTCCTTTAAACATAAGGAAGCAGTATTAAAAAACAAAACATAAAAAAACATGTCAATCTATTCATTATTCCTGCTGAATGTCAGAAAATGTTGAATACTCAGCAGTCACATTGCAAGTACACTCACCCTTCTCTTGCAGACATACAATTTAGATGACATTACTTCTCCAGAACTAGTCAGATGATGCAAATTACACACACTAACAGTGTGCATACATGAAAAATTACACTGTCCCTCACACTAACAGTTACATATATATATATATATATATATATACCTCCATATAGAGACATGGGCATAAAGTACTATTTTAAATTAAAAGGAGAATAACAATGACTTCAAATAATACTATTGTACAATGTAATAGTAACAGGATGGTGGTATGTGATCATACAGAACTCTACCAAGAGTTACCACGAGAATCAGTTATGCACAGAATGTAGTAGGAATATTTTAATGTCTGGACTTAAGGAATTTGTTTAAGCCCTGAAGGGGTCAATCTTATTGTCTCGCTTTTATCTCACATGCAGATCAGAGGGTTTCACATACAAATTGCAGTGTATCACTGACTCCTTTACTGCATGTCTAAAATACCTTATTACCACTCATACATTGTTAAAGAATGTCAGTAGGTCTGCTTTAAAACAAACAGCTGCATTAGCCAATAACTAAAGAACATCACTGCTATTCAATATCTACTGGTAGGTATTCATAGCTCCAACCAGCAATATATTTTCATGTGTCCCATTTTAGTGATGAACTACTATAGTCAATATGTAAGGTGGTGAAATAGTAAAAAGGGGAACAAAATCTTCAATTGAAATTTTAGATTTTTTTTTTTCTTCTTTTAATTCAACAATGTGGTGTTATGTCACCTCAATCAACTGTTTATTGAATAAAGACCCCCCATGTTGGCTTTGGATTTGTGTAGTAAACTTACTTCCAATTCTATTCTCAGAACCCACCAACTAATCAAAATGTGCTGATATCCTTACTTTAGCACAGGTGGGTTCATCATTGGGTCATACACAGACACCTGAGCACTAGTTAAGATATTCCTCTAATCCTATCCTGTTAATGGACCCCTTAGGACAGATTATATACGAGTACATTGATCAAGTGGATAAGACAATCCTTCCCATTCTAAAATAACAGATTTCTTATACTTTCCATTGATGCTTAAAAATCCATTACACTTCCAGCTTTAAACTTTAACCCCTCAAGACATGTAGGATATATTGATGGCATTAACCTGCACATCTTTACAAGTCCAAACTTTCTGTTCCCTTAATCCATTTCAATATATGACAAGTAATGAGAGAGATAAGTAGGATCTCTTTACTTACCACCAGGAAGAGTCAACTCTTGGAGTGAGGATAAGCAAGATTAAAACATATGCAAAACACATTCTGGAATTTGCTTGGATGCTTTCGGAGGAAGCTACTGTCCTATGGCAATGCCTTAATCCTGAAGGAGATGGTTTGGAATTGATCCTGAAAGACGCTTCTTTATCCAGAGCTAAACTCATTCTAGAATCTCCCCAAAAAACGTTTTTACCGAACAAGGAGAACACACAGCAAGCAGAATCCAGACTCTCATGCAGGTAACGATTTCACAATTTGGGCTGATCATCTGAAGAACCTCGAAAAGAACATCTTTAGCAGCTGGTTTTAAACAAAACACATTCCTTTTTTAAAGCGTTTTATTTCTTGTTTTTCATTCCAATCAGATTTTTTTTTACCTCCCCCCCCAAAAAAAAAAATCAATAGTAATTAGTTTACTAATGGGTTGCTTTACTAAAAATACCAATTGAATGGATTATATGTTCCTCTATATTACTATAAAAATATCTCTTCTTTGCATTGTGGAGTTTAGAATGAAAAAGAAAAATTATATATATAAATGTGCTATAAATTATGTTAAAAAAAAGAAACAAAAATATAGAACAATAGGATTTAAATTATTTTTAAAAAGTGACACCTGTGGAGTTTTGTGTGTTGCACAAAATAATATATATATATACAAATAATTTAAAAGTGTCTAAAAATGACCTGTGATTTGGAATAAAGAGGTTTCTTGAATATTTGGCTGATTTCTGTCTCTGGAGTATAGAAATTGGATAAATCCAGAGGTTTTGGATGATGCTGGAATGGACAGGTCTTGAGTTTTTGGAGGCAGTGATGATGTGAGTTGTTCCTTTGCCTATAGCTCCTCTGTTCTCATTGGGTAGAGAGCAGTTTGATAAATTCCTGGATTCACTTGAGAGGTAGCAGATCTCTGGGATTATTGCAACTCCCCCTTGTGAGTGTGAGAGAGGCTCTGCATTGGGTGAGGATAGACTGAGCTGTCACCTTTTTTTTTTGCAAAGAGTTGCAACAGCAACACACCACCACCTGCTGCTGTGATACAGACACACAGATAGAAAGAAGACACATGCATCCAGTTAGACACTGTTCTGAGGTTAGCAGGCGACGCCTCCATGGTCTTAGTGCTAGCCGAATTAAACCACCACTCACTGAACTCCCAAAACATTTCCTTTTTAAACAGCTGTCCCCAGTGAAAAGAGAAATATTTGTTTTCAGATTAAACAGTTTTTTTTCCTTACAGTCTGCTTGTTTTTTCTGTGAGTTCCTATTCTTTCCATTTCAATGTAAGTAATCTGAATCCTATGATTTGTCCCACTTTGACTAGTTTCCTATCCCTTTAACCCCCCCCCCCAAAAAAAAAATGATATTAAAAAAAATAATAATTTCACTTTCTGATAGATTCAAAGGTAAAATGTCGATACATTAAAAAGATAATAAAATGGAAAAAATAATAATAACTATAAATACTTGCACGATTAACATCAATATAGTGTTCTGCCAAAGCATACATTGCAATAGTGGCTGGTTTTACTGAATGAGGACCAAGAACAATGTGTAATGAAATAGAAAATATTAATAACATCACTCTAATTGCTTTTAAAATGAGACTTCAGGCTGGAGGTGACCACCATTTTTAAAACATATTATAGAAAGTGTATTATATGAAGCCCCCTACAACTTCCAAAATAATGAATGAATGAATGGATAAATAAATACATAAATACATAAATATATAAATAAATAAAAAGGCTTATTTTATTTGGTCACAAAGCACTTTGTCCAAGGAAGGAAGTAGTTGACAACCTTTCAGCCAATCCTGACACAGAAATAAAAATACCCTGGACCAGAAATAATTAATACGATATGTATGAGTTCAGCTCTAACAGTAATTAAGGCAGCTCAAGTAGGTGGAAGTCTTAACTCCATTAATGGTTTCCTATAACTCCATTGATAGTTTCCTATAACTCCATTGATAGTTTCCCACAGCTCCATTAATAGATTTTCATGAATGAAACCAGGCAAGGCATTGAGATAATTAGAGGATGTGAATATTTGTATAGTATGTGGATGATCTAATAATGCAATTTGGCACAGATCCTGACTTTACTCCACATAACTAAAAATAACTATAAATTCAGGTTACTTGAAGTTGGATTTAATCTGCAAGGCAAATTTAGACCTTCGTAAATAACCATAAAAAGATTAATAACATTAAAAAACCTCCACATTTATAAAAAGAAATAAATACAAAAATAAGAATTCTTTCCTTCCAATTTTCTCATCTCTTTTTAAGAGTTGAGAGGGTGCTGTGATCACAGTGCACCAAGAGAGAACTATATCACTCTTCTCTCCTTCACCCATGTTTGGTCCCAATGTGTCTCATTTTTTCACCTTATGTGCAGCGGCAATGGTTAATAGTACAGAATGGGTGAGCATGTTGGGGCACACTTACCCCAAATCATTTGCAATGGGTTTTATTTCATAAATGATTATGCTGGAGCAAGTTGGTAAAGGAAGCTTGGGATTCCTTTCTTGTTTGTAGGGGAGTCCATTGGAACCCAGGAATTATTTATTGACTACCACCAGTTTGGCGTTATGGTTAAAGGGCCATTAAGCAGATCACCTCACTAGAAAAGGGGTCTGACAGACCCTTTCTAAATTTTAGCCACACAACCACTGCCCACAATTATGGTTGTGTACCCATAAGGTATACTGGTCCTCATTCACCCCTTCCATGTATCTTAGTCCCCCCCTCAGTCCCTTCCATGTGTCAGTTTCAACCCCCAGTACCTTCCATGTGTCTCACTCCCCAGTCCTTTCCATGTGTCAATTTCCCCCAGTCCCTCCATGTGTTTCAATTCCCCCCGGTCCCTTCTATGTGTCAATCCCCCCTGTTCCTCTATGTGTCAATCCCCCCTGTCCCTCTATGAGTTGCGGTATGTTACAGTATGAAAGCCAGATAGTAAAATTGAAGCACTTGAAGCTTTGCTTCCAAGCCTTCTAATTAGTTTGCTATCGGGTTTTGGGTGGTAGGACAAGGTGACCAGCACTGAAGGTACTATAACAAATTCAATAAGATGAAGTTGTTAAAATGCCTACAGCAGGCCTGAACAACATACGGCCTGCAGGTCGCATGACGTCTGACAAATGATTTTGTGTGGCTTGCGAGGTCCTGTGGGTGGCGCCACAGTAAGACAGCACAGACGGACGCCTTAGGGCACACCTGCCCAGAGGACGCGGTTTCTGGCTGACCGTCAGCATGGGAGCATAGCCAGTCACTACTGTGTAGAGTGACCGAGCCGCGGACTGGGGAAAGGAGCTTCTGTAACCTCTCCCCTGTCTCACAGGAAGTGCTAAGAGCGCAGAACTGCTTTCTGTGAGACCGGAGAGAGGTTACAGGAGCTCCTCTTCCTGGTCCATGGCTTGGCCATGCTACAAGAGAGAGGTGAGCACAGACAGGCTGGGTGGGGGGAGACAGACAGACACCGATGAGCTGTAGGGACACTCAAACATTCACAGAGGGGATGGGGGAAACACAAACAGGCACTTTAACTTTACTAATACTGAGTTAAAATTACTTAGTATTAGTAAATAAGGGAGTTTAAAATCTCCCTCCTGCCCCTTATTGCTATATAGGGCATATCTACTAAACAGTGAGCAGCAAGTGCATCCCTCTAGTAAGGTGCCTCATGGTGGGGCACCTATTAAATAATAAACAGGTAGGCAGGAGCATAGTGTCCCCCTTGAGCCCCCACTCATGCACCACGAGTGGGGGCTATTAAACTAAATGGGGGACACATGAGTGGTGGGTGGGGGCCCTTAAGTGACAAAAGGGGGTACCGACTGACTCACCCCCTGGCCTCCACCGACGAGCGGTGAGTGGGGGCCCTAATTGACAAAAGGGGGGAGACCTACTGCCTCTCTCCCCCCAGCCCACACCCATGAGCGGCAGGGGGGGGGGCCCTAAAGTGACAAAAGGGAGGGAATCTACTGTCTCTCTCCCTGACAGCTACCCATGATTGGCATGGGTGGCCCTTAAATGAAAAAAAGGGGGGGAACCTATGTCTTCTCCTTCTGGGTCCCACCTATATGCGGCGGGTGGGGCCCTAAGTGACAAAAATACAATTTCCTCAATGCTTTCTTATGGGGCTTTCTTTGATGCTGGATATCCTCATGCAGAGCTTTGTCAAACTCTGTGAAACTCCTGGAAGCACCTCTAGTGACTGTTTGGTAGACAGCCACTAGGGGCAGTCTTAGTGATGCAATGTAAACATTGCAGTTTCTCATAAAACTGCAATGTTTTATGTTACAGGACTAAGGGGCACAGGGACAGTGCCCTCAGACCACTTCATTAAGATGAAGTGGTCTGGGTGCTCGTAGTGCCCTCTTTAATAACTTCTTCGTCTCTACCCTCCCTGACTTCAGATTAATTCCCTCTCTTTTCTATACTATTTACCAAATTTACCCTTCTTTGACACCCCTGCTAGTTCAAAGCCTTCTCCAACGTTCTAGCCATCCTCTTCCCTAGCACAAAATACTCTCTTCCCTTTAGGTGAAATCCATTACTGCTATAAAGATTGTACCCAAGTGCAACATCAGTCCAGTACTCTAAAAACCCCAAACCCTCCTTCCACTGTAGCATGTGGCATTGGTCATTGGTACCAATTTGGATCATGACAGTCGGGTCATCCCCAGCCCCTCCTAAAAATCCATCCATTCTGCAACATGCAGGACCTGAGCACCTGGGAGACAGCAATATCCCATCAATAAAAGAGGAGCTGTTCACCCGACTGTTAGAAGGAGCAGCTTTCTCCAGCACAGCCATTACTGAGCTGATACTCCAAACTTTTTCACTCAAGCAGGCAAAACTGCTGATGTCTGTAAATAAATAATTTGGAAATGTTTTCCAACAGTATTTAATCATTTGGAAAGCCTATTAAATAAATCCTGGGGTGTACAAAATCAGGACTAGCAACACCCTTCCCCTTCCTTCCCACTCTGCTACCTCACCCATCTGTCACCAAGCTACCTGCCTGTTCGCCAGCTGTCTCATCTCCTCCCACTCCACTACCTGCCCAAACTAAACTCTGCTCAGTGAGCAGTAATCCCTTCTCACGGTTGTCAGTCCACCTCAGTGTTGCAATTTGCTTCTCCAGATCTCCAATCTGAGCTTCCAGAGAAGCCACCCACTCACATTTGCCACAGAGGCACATACCTCGAAGAGACTCTTCCAGGCATGCATCCATAGAGCATACAGAGTTAACTTCTCAATCTTGCTAGCACTCATACCTGCCCCACTTTGAATTCTCACTTTAGTGAAAAACCCTGTTAATGTTTATGGTCTGTCTCTGTTAGTGCCTCTTGTCCTTTTCACAGTGTTCCCTGTTGGGTTTTTTTCCACTTGGGTCAATTCATTAAACAGTGAGTTGAAAAATTAGACCAAAATAAAAAAGGTAGGAAAAGTCTTGATCTCACTTGAGTTGAAGAACTTTTTTAATTTTGCTATTTTGACCCAAGTTTTAAAAGAGACATTTCAGATTGTTATAAGACCCCCCAGGTGTCTGCCTGCTTTTTTTTTTTTTTTTAAAGCGGTACAGGCATATAGAACTTAATTTATAATATTTCCAAATGATTCAGTAGAGTTAGAAAAACTTTCCAAATGATTTATCTACAAAATATTCCCAATGGTTTTGCCTGTAAATAAGTCATTTGGAAAGTTGTTGTAACAGTATTTAATCATTTAGAAAGCTTATTTAATCGATGTCATAGCAGAAAAGAGCCTCTGGGGACCTAGAAAGGAGACAAACGGCTAAGACTTATCGAGAAAGAGGAAAAATCTATATAAATTCACTGCCTAATACATCACACAACCTGCCTAATACATATAAACACACACTGCTAAATGCAGACATACACAAACACAAACACACAATGCCTAAAACAAACACACAAACTGCTTTATGCATATATACAGAAACATACCATGCCTAATACACACACACACACAAACACTGGCTCAAA